CTCCTAAAAAAAAAAAAAAAAGTCAAGAGTGGCGGTTTAGTCACAAAAGTCTTCGGGACAGCAGTTTTACTGGATTAGTGTGATGTAGTGACTGTGAGGTACCAATACACAGTGCGAAACTTGAGACTGAGTGTAGGTTGTCAGAAGAAAAAGATATGGACAGAGCTGAGGACATTTTTGCTTATTTAAGAGGAGAGTCAAATATCATAGTAAAAAAAAAAAAGCTGGTAGAGAAACAGGCTAAGATAGAGAATAGGAAAGAAATGATAGGAGGGGAAGTAGGAGAAAAACAGAATGGAGGGAAAGATCTGTAGTGGCAAGAGCAAATAGAAACTGCTTCTATGACACTTGATGGCCAGAAACAACATTTTATAGTTAAAAGCTATTTCATATATACTATTTTTACTAACTTCTCATTATATGAAGTGAAGAGAATGTGTTATCTCTATTTTAGAAAATTAAAAGAGGCTCTAAGATGTCCAAAACACATACACTTAGATTTTTAAAAATGAAGCACACATATAATCCAGCCTCACATAAAGAATGAAAGTCTGTACAGGAGATATGAAAACACACGAACGTCGCAAGGATAATCAGTGACTCACCTCATGTTCTGGAGAGAGATGTTCCATGTCAGTCCGTAAACATCTGAGACCAGGTAAAAAGTGATTTACCATTAAATCTTCTGAAATAACTTTAGAGAAGGTAGTTAAGGGAATTTTGGAAAAAAAAAAAAAAACAACTGATATTTTCACCTGAACAACTGAGGTTATATATAAAGAGGTGACTCTTTTAAAAGATGCCTATCAGCATACTGACTGCTCAAACAGGTTCCCTTCAAGTACAACTCATTTGTGGAGTAAGTTATTTATCCAGAGTGAATTCCATTTATTCCTACTAATCTATTTATGTTAATGCCATTCATCATTGGAACAGTCTATAATATAACTATGTTACAGGAAAGTATGAAACAATGAATGTAAAAATTAAATTATGTAATCTAATGGATGTTTAAATGAGTATGAAGTTTGTATGTAAAGTAAGAAAATCAATGCTCCTGTGATAACTAAGTTGAAACTTCTGGAAAAAAATTGATAAAGGCAAATTGGTTAAAATATTATGGTTTAATAATTATATATAATTGTAAAAGACTGAGAAAAATATAAAAATTCAGGACAATTCTATATTCAGTACCAGAAATGCTTCTGATCTTCTTGAAATAACTTATTTTATTTTTATACTGCCAGAGGACCCATGTGCTTGCCAGAGAGACAGAGAGGGAGAGGGAGAAAGCAATCCCCAGTGGGGTGTGCTCTTTCCATAATCCCTTTTCTTCTATTTCTCTATCTTGTCAGGATTTGGTAATGCACACGCATGTGCCTGGCATGTTTTCCAAGCTACTAGGGCTGGGACTCAAACTGTGTGGCCAGTCATCTGGGATTTGGGTCCCTTTCCACCAAGCACGTGGGCAACTTCTTTAAAGAATTTTAAATGGCCTGGCTGTGGGGCACCCACTGGAGTCACCTGTGAAGGGCCTAGTTTCAGACAGATCCCAGTTAACCTGAGCTAGATATGCCCATGGCTGCCTGTTATCCTGGCTGGCTCTAAGGTTGGTGGTGAGAGTGGCATGGTGAGACACCGTAAGGGTGCCTTTAAAATGAAAACCATAAAAAATTGCATTATGGATGTGGTTTATCTGAGAAAGGAGATAGTTTAGCTATAATTGGCAAATTCACACAAAATAAATACATAAAATAGAAAAAAAAGAGGGACCAGCAGATGGCATAATGGCTACATCGCTGGACTCCCATGTAGTCTACTACGGTTCGAGTCCTGGACCCAGCGACTTAAAACTCACACCAGGTGCATGTATGTGCATGCCCAAAATCCTGATAGAAGAATGGAGGAGAAGGGATTGTGGTATGGCTACAATCAGAAATTACCCTTAGGGGATAATTTCTTGCTTTGTCTTTCTGTTTCTCCCTGTTGCTTTGGTAAGTACACACACACTACAGAAAAAACTCTCAAAAAAGAAAAAAAAAAGTCTCACTTTCTACATCCAAAGATACACTTATTGGGCCAGCTAGGTGGCATGGTGGTTAAGGCAGCTGGATCCCTCATGGCCGACTAAGCAGTTCAAATTCTGGACTTGGCAACTTGCAACTTGCAAACCATACCAGTTGTGCCCAACATCCCAAGAATAAAATAGGAGAGAAGGGGTTGTAAGTGGTCATCCCCCTGGTGGGTGCTTTCTCACTTTCTCTGTGTCCAGACAAGCGCATATGCACGGTAAAAATTAATTAAAAAAAAACTACATAAAAGAATATACAATTCTATGTAATACATTAAGTTACATAAGCTATCTATGGTATATGCCATTTTCCTGGTTTCTTGTTTTAACCACCTGGTTAAACTGACTTACTATTGCTCTTGATGGATTGGCTAAGGGACCATTTGCTAAAATAAGAGCATTAAGAGCTTTTGTTAAAAGTTCATTACTATGTACAGTTCCTAGTCACCTTTGCGTTTTAGTTGATTATTTAGACATTCAAAGGAATCAGAAAAGCAGATGTATTTCTCAAGAAAACAATTCGTCCTGTTCAGTCATGTTAATTCTGGCATGTCGTCACCTTATACTAGTTAGCCATTTAAAAGTAGCCCATATTGGGCAACTAGTGGTATGGCAGTTAAAGCATCTGGATCCCACATGTATGACTGAGCAGTTTGAGCCTCAGATCTGGAGGCTTGCAAACACGCCAAGTGCATGTGCATGTGTACCAAACTCTCAATAGGAGAATGGAGAAGGGACTGTGGTGTGGCCATCCCCCTGGGAGTGCTTTCTCACTTTCCCTTTCTGTCTCTCTTCTATAAATGCACATGCCCTACTGTAAGAAACTTTGAAAAAGTGAAAAATGCAAATAAATTGTTCTGTTATAAAGATGATTTAGTCTTTTTGAAAATGATAATAATAAATTTTATTAAGAATAAAAAATTGGGGTACCAGCAGGTGGTGTGGTGGTTAATGTGCTGGACACTCTCACATGGCCGACCATGGTTCGAGTCCTGGACCTGGAGGCTTCCTTTCTCCCTTTCCCTCTCTCTTTGTGTGTGTGTGTGTGTGTGTGTGTGTGCGCGCGTCTCTCTCTCTGGTCAAATTAAAATAAATGAATGAATAAATAAAATTAATAATGAAAAAAAAGAATGAAAAATCAGGGGCCACCCCAGGGGCTGGATCCTACATGGCTAACTGCAGTTCAAATCCTGGTCCTGGGGACCAGCAGATGGCATAATGATTATGCTGCTGGACTTCCACATGGCTGACCCCAGTTTGAGTCCCAGACTTGGTGGTTTAAAACTCATGCTAGGTGTATGTGCATGTGTACCCAAGATCCTGAGAAGAGATTGGAGAAGGGATTGCAGCATGGCTATCCCCTGGGGGTGATTTCTCTCTGGTGAGTGCATGCACCCTATAGCAAAAATCTCTCCAACAAACAAACAAACAAACAAACAAACAAACAAATCCTGGCCCTGGTAGCTTGAAAAACACACTTGGTGCATGTGCATGCATGCCAAAATCTCTACACGATGGAGAAATGGAGCAGATGAGACTAAAACATGACTATATCCCACCGAGGGCGCTATCTTCCCCACCTCCCCTCTCTACTGAGAGAGCACACTCTGACAATTAGAAAAAAAAAAATCAGTGTAATACATAACTGCTACCTTGAAAATACAACTGTAAACTTAAATTGTTCATGAACAAAGCTCCTATAATGAATGACTTACAAATTCAATAGGTTGAATGACTTACAAATTCAATAGGTACTGAAAGTACAGACAGAAACTGGTTGAACCAAATACCTATACACATATGGAGAGCTGCAATCTAATCTTGTTTCCTAGATATGGGGAAAGTACCATCAAGATATGACCATGAGTGACCTTTGGATTAGTAATTAAGAGTCTGATTTAGAGAAATACAAGGGATCTCCAAAGAGTTCAGAGAAAACAAATACTATGAAAAAAAAACTATGTTGTGGATCTTAAAAATTTTTTTATGCCAAAATAAACTCACACTTTAATTTCTTTTCTTTCTTTTTTTTTTTCCCTCTAGTGGGGCATGCACTCACCGGAGAGACACAGAACAGAGAGAAGAAGAGAAGGGAAGTGAGAAATCACCTCTTGGGGGTGATGGCCATGCCACAATCCCTTTTCCATTCTCCTCTCGGGATTTTGGGCATGCATGCATATGTGCCCAGCATGGTTTTCAAGCCACCATGTTCTGAACTCAAACTATGCACTTGGCCATGTTGGATCCAGTCACCTTCACCATACCATCTGGAAAGCCTGTAATTCATTTTTTATGAACTTTTTTTAAAGGCTTGCATATAGGCAAGGATTGAAAACTAAAGACAGCCTTTTTTTTTTTTTTTAAGAGGTTTTTGCTATAGGGTGCGTGCACTCGCCAGACAGACAGAGAGAGAGAGACAGAGAGACAGAAAGCGAGAAATCACCCCCCAGGGGGGATAGCCACGCCACAATCCCTTCTCCTCCATTCTCCTCTCGGGATCTTGGGCACGCACGCACACGCGCCCGGCCTCAGTTTAAGCCACCGGGTCCAGGACTCGAACTGCGGTCGACTATGTGGGAGGAGTCCAGTGACATAGCCATTATGCTAACTGCTGGTCCCAAAGATAGCCTTATTTGAAGAAGAGTGAAGTCACTCTCTATATTCGGTCCTATGGAATAACATAGGCTTTCTTAAGAATTGGAAACTTAAAAGTCATGCAGCACTCTGATATTAGGAACTGTCTCTATTTGGTTGGTGAACGATGGTCAGTAGATCTCTTCTGTAATCCCTGCTTAGTAGCATTAGCTCTATACCTTAGCTACACAGTGTGCTTGACCTTCCTCCTACAAAACAAGATTTAAAATAACTGTAAAATTATCTTCTCACCTCCAAGTCATCACTTCTCTGGGTTAAGTATTTTTAAATTCATTCAAACTTTTCTTTTTTAAAAAATATTTAATTTTATTTATTCACTCATTTATTTTAATCTGACCAGACAAATCTCAACACACATACACACACACACACACACACACAGAGAGAGAGAGAGAGAGAGAGAGAGAGAGAGAGAGAGAAAGAAAGTAAGAAAGCAAGCCACCAGGTCCAGGACTCAAACTGTGGTCAACCATGTGGGAGTGTCCAGCACCTTAACCTCCAAACCACCTGCTGGACCCTCAAACTTTTCTTAAACATGACTCCTTGATTTCTTTTAATGCCAAATGTTACACACTATAGTTTTTTCTATGTCCCTATTAAAATATGATGCTTGTGCTGAAAGGAATAGTTTAACATTCTGATCAGCTCAGAATGTAACAGAACAGCAGAATAGATTTGGACAATGTGATTTTATTAGTGGTCAAACTGAATACAAGCTATGACTAATGTAGAACTAACACTTTAGTACTTGAACAAAGATGGTTCTTAAGATGGTTCTTCCCTTTACTATACCAGTAAAAAGACTTTTTACCATATTTATTCCACAAATATTCTTTATATATCTAAACATGCAATAGTATTTCTCATATGGATTGCTATGCCCTTTAGAAATCAGTCTTTCTACTTAGACAACATGGGTTTTACAGAACTAAAAATTTTTATCTTCTGACTTTCTCATTTTGAGGAATATTCTTCTTGTTTGTTTACTTCTTGTGTGTGTGTGTGTGTGTGTGTGTGTGTGTGTGTGTGTACTTCTAAGGGAGAGGGGGAGAGAGGGAGAAGAGGAAGGAGGGAGAAGACGAGGGAGAGAGAGAGAGAGAATAACAGCGCAAGAAAGTACCTCCCAATGGGGCATTTTACACCACCATACCTTTTTTTACATTTTTCTTTTTCATCAGGATTTGGATACAAACAAGCATGTGCCCGGAGTGTTTTCCAACCCACAGGTTCAGCTATGTGGGCCTGGCTTTCTATGTACAATGCTTAACGCACCTGTGCAGTACCCCACCCCACCCCGCCCCCACCCTGTGAGATATACTGTTTAGAAACTCTCTGCTATATAAGATGATATAGGACTTCCTGCTTGTGTTTAAACATCTACTTTCACAAAGTCTAAGGAACAGGTGAAAATGTATGTACCAAAGTTTCTTTTCTTTGAGATACAAACATTCATATGCTATTATTACTTTCTTGCAAAGGACCTGTCACTTCCCCATTACTGAAAAACTCTTCCTTGCTAATTCAAAATATCAGTTCCTCTTTTTGCTTCCCCTATCTTCTCTAAGTTGAAAATGCCAACATGATAAATCAGGAATGACAGTAAGTTCTGCTTTTAGTTGAGTTAAACTTATAGAAGAAAGGGATAGTTGAGGTACAGACTTATTAAAATATGGTGTCTCTGCCCACTTTATAATTATTTAAAAAATGGCTTATATCATCCACATAACTGGATCATTTGTAGTACATTTCTGAAATAAAATACTATCAACCATGCATGTGCCTTCAAGTTTTAATGTTCCCAAAAGGATACATGCACTTTTCCAATTTGATTGATTGTGAATAAAAATAACCTCTCACTGGTACACTCCAGTCAAGGTCGAGTGCCAGGGCATCACTGTTATTCTGGAACACATTTATCTGACTTAAAGTCACTTGTTTGTTTATTACTTCAAACTGGTCTATAGCAATGTGGAAAATAAACATTAATCTGGAACTCTTTCTTTGCTCTCTATTTTCTACTATAACTCAGCGGGAACCTCTCTGTTATCACTTTTTTTCCTGTTATAATCATAATCTCTAATTATGTTGTTTGGCATATACTTTAGTAGTTTTGAGAATTCAATCTTTTACTCTTTCTTCAATCTCTTATTTCCTGTTTTCTGAGCTCTTCTGCCTTTCAATGAGAGCCTAGGAGTTGGAGTTCATTTTGTCTTTTTCTTCACTTCCTTTTTAGTCTTATTATACTGGGCATGGGAACATAAAGGGAACATTTAAGAAGACTGCTAAAATTTTTTGTTCCAGTTACTTTTTTTTTTTTTTTACGAGAACGGTTTTCATTTAATTTTATTTATTTATTTTATTGTGACCAGAGGGGGACAGAGTGAGACATAAAGAGAGAGAGAGAAGGAGGGAAGGAAGAAGAGAGAGGGAGAGAGAGAAAAAGTGAGAAAGCAAGCTGCCAGGTCTGGGATTTGAACCATTGTCAGTCATATGGGAGTCCAGCGCCAACCACCATGCCACCTGCTGGCCCCCAGTTTTGCTCTTTATTGTAAAAACAGAAGTCACCAATGTCTTGGAGCCTTAGTTCACATTACAATACAGTGGTCGGCATGGGCCTAGATGACCTCTCTTTCTCCCAGTTGTATAATCTCTGGAAATGATTGGCCTTCTCACCTCTACTTTTCCAATGGGTGACATCTCTCGAGAAGTATTCAGAGTGTTCTACTGGATATTGATACATGCTTAATTCATTGGAAAACCTAAATGCTAGGACATACGCTTCCTTGAGATTAACAGAAGTCTCAGTTATAATTCATTGTGCCCTTCATTTCTGACTCACTTATATAGATATTTAACGTAAATAAAATTCCAGGTTAAGAACGTCATCAGTGTTTTAAAAGCTATAGAATGTATAAGCACAGTGGACTTAAAAATACCTTCTAAAGTTCTGAGGTGACTAGAATAAGGAGTGGGTAAAGTCAAATCAAATTTTTAATTTTATGCAATCCATATAAAAGCCAAAAAACAGCTTACTTCTCAATCTTAGACAGCTGAGATTCATTTTAAGATTCCTTATATGAATTGTAGACATACTTTGATAAAACAAGGATACAACAACAGGAGAGTGCACTGTAGGCTTCAAAGAGATGGGTGGCAATATCCAGTCTTTTAGAATCCACAATTTGTAAGTTGTTCACCAGGGCTAATTTATGCAAATGTGGTATAACGACTGAAAAAAGAAAGAAATTGTTACATTTTTATGCAAAACATGTATACAAAACTCTCACATATTTAATTATTAATTTATAAAATTTCATTTGGATGACTCCAAAAGATTACCCACACCCTATGCTTGATTTTCCTAACAAGTCAATAAACTTTTTTTAAAAATGAAAAGTGATCTGGATGTGGAGAAACAGATTTTAGTACTGTCATTATAACATAATTACAGGAATATATACAGTTTACTTGGCCTCAGTGTAATTTGAATCCTCACTTAAAAATCAAGCAAACACAAACAACCATCCATTCTTATAAATAACTTTCTTTGGAAAAATACCACTATTGCTATTAAATAAAAGATACATACACTCAATGTTTTTCTTTTTCTTTTTTTTAAAGAAGGAATTTTTTTTTTTTTTTTGGTTGTTGTTGTAGGGCATGTGCACTTGCCAGAGGGACAGAGACAGAGAGACAGAAAGCAAGAAATCACTCCTCAGGGGGGATGGCCAAACCACAATCCCTTCTCTTCCACTCTCCTCTCAGTATCCTGGGCATATATGCACACGTGTCTGGCATGAGGTTTAAGCTACTGTGTCTGGGACTCGAACTGTGGGTGACTATGTGGAAGTACAGCGATGTAACCATTATGCCATCTGCTGGCCCTCCACTTAATTGTTTTCAACAAATTATTTCACTCCTTTATAATACTATTATTAATGTTAGTTTCTCAAATCTTAGCATAGACCAATATCAAATAGCACTGCTATCTGATTTTCAAATCACTCAGTGCCCTCAAAGAATAATGTAAAACTTCAAAAATAAAGTCAACCCACTGCTAAAATAAAAGTGATGGCCAAGAAAAAAATAACTAATTCAGTATCAATGAGCATTCCTAGTGCTTAAGACTGTGTTTTCTAACTACTGTTTCCCACTAAAACCAGGGTTCTTTGTAGAATGACTCCAGGGTCAATGACCTACACTGTCGGTGCCAGCAGGTGGTGTGGTGGTTAAGGGTGTTGGACTCCCACATGGCCAACTGCAGTTTGAGTCCCAGACCTGGTGGCTTGCTCTCCCACTTTCTCTTTTTCTCTTTCTCTCTCTTTCTCTCTCTGTCCCTCTCTGGTCAAATTTTAAACATAATTAAATATATAAATAAAGTTAAATAAAATAATTCTTTAAAAAAATTTCCTACATTGTTGATCAGACTTTTTACTTTCTAGTCTCTACTTGGTTGGGAAATGCAAAACACTACTCAAAACAGTTTGTTGATTAAATGTAGTGATTATTTTTTGTTTGTTTGTTTGAGTGGCGTTTACATAGGTAAAGGCCAGATTTTTTCTTTTGGAAAAACTGCTTCCTAAATAAACCAAGGCTATAAATTTACAACTTTCAGGCTTAGCTTAGTAAATGGCAAAAAGTCTACAAAACTTAAAATAACAATGGCCACTTTTAAAGACTATTTGGCATGTCATAATGAATAACAATACACTGATAGGGGGCTCTAGAAAAAAAAAAAGACAAAAACTTCAAACATGTGGTAGTCAGCTTCATTAACTGGCTAAAGCCCCAACAAAACTATGACTCAAAGATGGGTTTTCTTTTTCTTTCTTTTTTGAGAGATTTTTGCTATAGGGTGTATGCGCTCACCAGAGAGGCAGAGAGACAAAGAGTGAGAAATCCACCCCCATCCCTACCCCTCTGGGGATGGCCACACCGCAGTCCCTTCTCCTCCATCCTAATCTTCAGATCTCATGCACAAGCACCTGGCTTGAGTTTTAAGCTGCTGGGTTTGGGATTCGAACCACGGTTGACTATATGGGAGTCCAGTGACATAAACATTATGCCATCTGTTGGTCCCAATGGTTTTTCTTAGAGACTCTCAATTTCCTTTCTGTCCACATCTTCTGAAATTTACCTCCCTTCGCTTTATCTATCACACATGATCCCTTTACTCCTTCTGCTCCTGAGTCTCTGACCTGCCTCACTGTTTTTCTCAGAAACGATATCACACTATATGTTTTCACCTTAACTGCTTGACTTGAAGACAAATTTTTAATAGAAGTTAATTTAAATTGTAGTCTAGAGGCAGTTAAAGGCTATAATTTAGGATCTTCCTAATCCTCAGGAAGACAGACAGAAATTTACAGTGGTGTTCAAGATTTTACCTATTGCTCTGGGGTACCACATTTTGTACTAATTAATTAAAATGATGATCAATGGTAAAAGCAAAAGATATTAAATACCAGAAGATTTAATAACCAAAATGGGCATAATCTTAAGACTGACCTTCAGATAGGAAAAGAAAAGGACATTCACAATATAAGGCCACTGAGAAAGTTTTTTTTCAGGGCATATTGGACAAAGATTTAAAACTGCAAATTTGATGAAGCTGGATTTCAGGAAACTTTCAATAGAATGTTCTAGTGTAGGCCTGGCAGCCAAAGTAAAGGGAATCTTGTCTTCTTTCTTTCGGTGGACTTCGACATGACTTAAGAAACTTAAGAGAAAACTAATCTGAAGTAGAAAATTACCACATTAGAACATTGTCAGTGTTCAGAGGATCTTACAAAGTAACAAAACAACTGTGTGTCTCAGATAAAATAACTGGCTCCAGAAATAAAATCAAGACCAAAAGGTATTGCGGTAACTAAGAACTGGAAAAGAACAAGGGCCACTGAAAGAATGAATTTTCTCTACTAGATAAGAAATAGAGGGACAAATATCTAAGCATGTAAGACAACCTAAGGGGCTATCATCACCCAGAAATTCTGACTTTCTCTAAACTCTCAAAGGGAACTGCCTATAAACATGGGTGGGTAACAGGATAGCATTCTTTTTGATATGATTCTACTTTACCATTAATCTTTTTAATACAAGACATTAAGTTCCTCAAGGTAAAGTTTTAAAGCAAAAGAAAAGCTATATGGGAAGTTAAAAAAAAAAGAATAATTTTTTTTTTGAGTTTCTTTTTTTTGGGGGGGAGAGATTTTTGCTATAGGGCGCATGCACTCGCCAGACAGAGACAGAGAGACAGAAAGCGAAAAATCACCCCCCCCAAGGGGGATGGCCACGCCACAATTCCTTCTCCGTTCTCCTCTTGGGATCTTGGGCATGCATGCACACGCGCCCGGTGTGAGTTTTAAGCCACCGGGTCCGGGACGTGAACCACGGTTGACTACATGGGAGTCCAGTGACGTAGCCATTATGCTAACTGCTGGTCCCAAAAAAGAATAATTTTTTTATCTTTAAAAACAAAGAAATCTAGGGGTCAGACAGTGGTGAGGAGTAACACTAATATAAACCTGATGTTACAACATATTTGACTATCCCTACTGCTAACTAAAATACCAGACGCTTTCTTTTGGTTAACTAATCATGAATATACTCACTCAGTGCAAAAGAATCTTATGATTGTGTTTCTGTAGCTTGATAAATATCCATGCCCTCAACAGACCTTTAGGACACTGCATCAAAATTCTCTTTAGAGCATGTTAAAATGCTAAGAACGAGAGAGCTAAAGTACAGCACTAATAATGAGTATGTGTCTGGAGTAGTCATTTCTGGGTGCTTTGATGCCACCTAAATAGTTGCCATAAAGATTGAGGCTCACAAAAAAAGAGACAGTAGAAAAACGAGAGAAATGCTTTAACAGATAATCATGCAGTTAATTCAGCAGAAAAACAAGTTGTGAATTGAAACAGAGTGACACATTGTCCTGAACGACATGCTAAGGGGGAGAAATGGATTTTTTTTTTTTTTAAATAATAACCTGTCTAGAAACAGAAAAACTAACCTAAAATAAAATAAAAACCAAAAAAGAACAACAACAAAAAGGAGCAAAAAAAACCTCTCTAAGTTTAAAGCTGCACAGTACTTTGCAATTACAGTTAAGAAATGTTTCTAAAATGGGGCTGGCAGGTGGTGTGGTGGTTAAGGGCACTGGATTCCCACATGGCTGACAGTGACTGGAGTCCTGGATCTGGTGGCTTGCTTTCTCACCCGCCCCCCCCATCTGTCCCTCTCTGATCAAATGAAAACAAATAAATAAAGTTAGATAAACTAATTCTTAAAAATGAAAAAAAGAGGGAACCAGCAGTTAGCGTAATGGCTATGTCGCTGGACTCCCACGTAGTCGACCGCGGTTCGCGTCCCGGACCCGGTGGCTTAAAACTCACGCCGGGCGTGTGTGCGTGCGTGCCCATGATCCCGAGAGGAGAATGGAGGAGAAGGGACTGCAGCGTGACCATCCCCCCTGGGGGGTGATTTCTCGGTTTCTGTCTCTATGTCTCTCTCTGTCTGTCTGGCGAGCGCACGCGCCCTATAGCGAAAATCTCTCTCAAAAAAAAAAAAAAAAAAAAGAAATGTTTCTAAAAACATTTAAAGTTTTTGTGTGTTTCTTTCTTTTTTTTTGTAGGTCTTAAAGCAATCAGTACACAAGGAATCACCCACTAACTGCAATCCTGAGCAATTCGCCGTAACTCAGTGCACCTGCATATTTCAGTATGTGGAAGAAGTTCAAGTATAGTGAGGCTTTAACATGACAAACCCTCGGAGAAGTTTCTACCTTTGATGTTATATTACCATTCAGGAAAAAGGTACAAAAATGCACTTACACTCATCTCGGAACCTGGGTTCTGCATTAGGCCCGACTCTACCAAATGTTTTTATGATTTCTGTATGCAAAGAATGCTGGTCTTGATACTGAGGATCTTCCAGGAAAGAAGCCAACTGCATTTTCGCTCTTTCCAGCAACTTAAAATTGGAGATTGTACAGTCATTGTTAGAACATTACACACTGATCATCATTTCTAAAGTGAAAGATACCCAGCAAATATGACTTGCAACAGTGAATTCAAATGATTTATACTATACCCCTGTGATAGTAGGAATTTGGAATTAAATAAGCAGTGTTTTTAGTCTTTTTGCTCAGAAAAGATTTTATGTTTTTGTTTATGCCTGCTGATTTTTAATTAAAAAAAAAATTCCCTGATGAGTTCTAAAAACAAACTCCACAATATTTAGGATAAAAGAAGTAAGTGTATGATTTTTTAATATAAATTATAATTCTTAAAAGAATTATACTGGATGTTACCCAATTATTCACCTTCTGAAAGCAATGAGTCATTAATGACTTACAACTTACTCACATTTCCCTAAAAGACATTTTTATTTTAGGGTTTAAGAACATGTTGAAATTCTGCTAAGACTGCAAGCTTTGCAGAATGGTGTGCTTTTCTTTCCTCTTGCTTAACCAGTGAAATATATAAAATGGATAAAGTATTTATTTCTATGACTAACATTCAATTTTGGTTATAAAAAAAACTATATGATACAGAAATTTTACTTTATTTTATTTTATTTTATTTTGGTAAAGTGTCCAAAATGTTTTTGGTAAAACCAGGCTTTCCATTTAAGTGACCAGGTAATATGTTTGCAAATAATTTATTTTCTAATTTACGGGGCTTTTTATTTGGGTAAGGTCATATTCAATACGATAGCGAACGGTAAAATTCCGATACTAATTTCACAAAGTGTCTTATAGTTAATGTTGTAGACAGAAACTAAAATACTTAAAATGATATCAATATCAGAATCAAAACACAGTGTTAAGGGGGAAAACTTGGTAGTTTCCTGAGCAAGCACGACACAGGGTTTGCACACGATGTATGCTATAACAAGATGACACCAGTCTGCTAAATGACGATTACAGCTTGTTATCAATGACTCGGTATCGGAATGCAGGTGTCCTCTTGACTTCATTTGTAAAACTGAGATCATTTTATCTGGAAAAGCAATTTTCAAGTCTGGACAAACTGGCAATTAAGATTTTATGTAGAATGGCCAGAAGTTCACTGGATAACAGGTGGCTTTGGAAATCGATATGATTTGAAGGATTATTTAAATCTGCAATTTGCAGAGAGGCTTAAAATAAAACATCTACGAGTTGGTTAGCCTGCACTTAATTTGCTACTTGAGAAGAGCAGATTTCCTGAAGATAGGGACATACACCTTGGTTAGGCAGTCATGTTTTGAAACAATAAGATCCTCCTCTGGCCCATAAGTGAGACATAAAATGAAAAGTGAGCTGCTCCCTGCTCCCTACCACTAGGAATGTGCAAGGCAATGTGTCATCCCTTCAGCACCTCAAGAGTACATAGAAATGAATTTCAATGCCTTCCTACCTCTCTTTGAATAACTGTTTCCATAATAGTGCCAAAAGCTGGAATTGTGGCGATCCTGACAGAGCTGTTAGAATGAAAAAAGAAAAGAATTTGAAATTTTCTTTGAGATAAAAAGTGAGTATTATTAAAATGTGTATCAAGATAAGTACAAGGTAAATATACCGTATTAGTCTCTAGCAATGACAAATTAAATTTAAAAAAAGCAGACCAAGAAGAATGCTCAAAAAGATGGACAGGATAACTTAAGGTCGCAGTCTGTGAAACTCACAATTCAGGATCACTGGACAAGGTAACAAGGGCCGGAGCAACCCGCTTGTCAACTAACGCTTCACTCATGCCTCGAAGAGTCAGCTGTAAACCAGTCAACATGCAATAAAAAATGGTTTGGTAAACTGGAATGAGAACTGGGTTAGCTGTGACTGAGGATGGGCAGGCAGACTCATTGGCCTTTCTTGGTTTAGTCACCCACACGAAACATTAAAATGTTAAGCCTTTGGTTCATGCCACTACACTTACTGGTAACGACCTGTTAGTGAGATTAGCCGAGCATCCCTTCTTGGCTTGGAAGAAATAGTCCATCAGCACATTTTAGTTTTGGAAATGCTTACCAAGTACCAACAATACTGATATTTTTCAATACATAGCCTCTAAATTAGGCCCACTTTGAGGACTGACAAAAAAAAATCCCACAATATATGAATAGTAATGATCAAGTAAACATAATCCAATAATATCATTTTATGAGATTTTTCAGTAAATTTAAAGGCTGATGGTTATTTCTTGATGGGCACATTTTGAAAGGGATGCTGAATATAAAAGGCAGGGACGGCACTTACATTTCAGGGTCACTGGAGAGAGTAATGAGAGCAGGAACAACCCTCTGAGCTACCAGAGTTTCATTCACCCCCTTCACCAACAGCTGATTGGTCAGCGCAGGGGGGAGTCACAGGTGATGCGCGGAAAGAGCAAACACAGCGCGCCATGGGAAGAAGAAAGGAACAACCAAGAGAAAGAGAGAAAAACACAAAAGCAAACCAAAATTAGAAGCTAAGCAAATATTGCTACTAGAGTGCTTTATAAAGCCAGAGAATGCTTAGGAGGAAAATAAAGCTTAAACAGCCTAGCAGTCCATGAAAACAGATTTCGCCACCAATTCAATGGCAATTTGTACTTTTGGTCAATAGTCTACACAATTTCCACATTCAATTAAAATGCAACGTAAAAGAAAAGTTTACTTTGTAAAGAAGATAGCTAAAATGAAGAAACATGTTGAGTGCTATGGTTAAAATTCTCACAGTAACTCTAGTATGATTTTATTATGACCAATAAGGTACAAACTGGACCACCCGAATGGCTAGCAGCCACGGCTTAACTGCTTATGACTGTTCTGTAGCAAGAACATTTAAAAAAGCACGCAGAAGAATTCCCAACCTTTCAAATCTTTTGAGGTAGAGAGACATAATGCAGTCTACTGAAAAGCATTACCCTTGGGAATCAGCTCTGGGTTCAGACTCCAGTTCTCCAATTATAACTCAATACAATATAACCCAATTATAATTTGTTGAAACCCAGTTTTCTCATCTGAAAATGATTCTATCATCTACCCCAAAGGACTTTTTACTATGAATTTGCACGTAATACACCTAGATACAGTGCCTGACTTACCATAAGTACACAAAGTTTATTATGATTACTCTAAAAATAAATTATTTGCAATATAGTTGGGAAAAAAATTAATAAAGGGACCAGCAGATGGCATAATGGCTAGATTGCTGTATTCCCATAGTTGACTCTGGTTTGAATCCCAGACCTGGCAGCTTAAAACTCACACTGAGCACATGTGTGTGTGTGCCCAAAATCTTGAAAGGAGAATGGAGGAGGGAGGGTGGTGTGGCCATTCCCCCTGGGGGTGATTTCTTGCTTTCTGTCTCTCTCTTTCTCTCCAGCAAGTGCATATGCCCTTTAGCAAAAAGAAAAAGAAAAAAAAAATCTCTCTTTAAAAAAAAAAAAATTGTGGACCAGCAGATGGTGTAATGGTTATGTTGCTGGACTCCCAAATAGTCAACTACAGCTTGAGTCCTGGACCGGCGGCTTAAAACTTACACAGGGTGTAAATGCGTGCATACCCAAGATCCTGAGAGGAGAATGAGTGGAAGGGATTGCGGTGTGGCCATCCCCCCCGAGGGGTAATTTCTCGCTTTCTGTCTCTCTGTCTCTCTGGTGAGGGCACACGCCCTACAGCAAAAATCTCTCTCTTAAAAAAAAAAAAATCAGTTAAAATTATTTTGGAAGTTGGGGTCAGTAGATGGTATAGTGGTTACATTGCTGGACTTCCACATGGCCGACTGCAGTTCAAGTCATGGTCCTGGAGGCTTGAAACTCAGACCAGGCACATGGGTGTGTGTGCCCAAGATCCTGGGAGGAGAATGGATTGCAGCATGGCCATTCCTCTTGGAGGGTGATTTCTCACTTTTCCTCTCACTGTCGCTCTCTCTCTCTGGCGAGCACATGAGCCCTAAAAACCTTTTAAAAAATATATTTTGGAAATTAACATCTAAACAATTCTTTGTTTTATATTTCTCTAAAAGCTTGAATTTCTTGTGAAGACTTTTTTTTTTTTTTAAATTTATATGGGTTATAGGGTGTGCACTTGCCAGAGAGACAGAGAGAGAGAGGGAGAAATCACCCACCTGGGGTGATCCTTTCCCCTCCATTCTCCTCTCGGGATCTTGGGCATACATGCCCAGGGTGTTTCAAGTCACCAGGTCTGGGACTTGTACCTTAGTCAGCCATGTGGGAGTACAACACCTTAACCACTATGCCACCTGCTGGTTCCAAATAATTTTTAAAATAAAATCTAATAGAATTATACCTATTTCTATTTTCTAGTAATAAAAATAGTTCATTTAGCAATCAAAGTTAAATCGCAAAGCAAGAGAATGATATTGAGTGATACGTATTTTGTCTTATAGATATTACTGAACTTTATTAGCTCATCAGAGAAGGGCAGCCACCCCCTTCTCAGTTTCAGAGTGCATGCACAAATCCATCCTAAATGCAAAATCAAGAATCTGTTCGTCTACTAAAGGAACTTGTCCTCATGGAAGAAAAAGATGTAATGGAAGTTTTAGTAATAAAACCTATCACTGTTTCTTCTGTTAAGACAATCATAAAATCCACAAGACAGAGCATAACTCAATTTATGTGATGAATTTGTCATCATTTACCAATGGATTCATTTTAGAATCGATTTCAATAATTTATATGAAAAATTACATATAATTAGGCAGGAATAGAAGGACAAATAACTTTTGTTATTACCTTAAACGTTACAGAAATCAAGTAGAAAGAAGTAACATAAGCAAATTTAAAAAGCGTTAAATAAAACTTCCTTCTCTGTTTCACTTTATAAATGAGATACCTTAGGTTTTGATTTATTTGCCAGTGGGCACGTATGCTTGTGCACATGGTGGGGGTGGGGAGGAGAGGGAGGGAGCAAGGACAAAAGAGAGAGTGAAAACATCCCTCATGAGGTATGGCCAGGCCACAATTTCTTCTCCTCCATTCATTGATTTCAGGATTTTGAGTGCACATACATGTCTGTTGTGATTTCCTAACTGCTGGCTCTGCACTCAAACCATGCTGTTGGCCATGTGGGATCTAGCCACCTTGACAACTAGGCCAGGGATTGGCCTAAGATTCCTTAGTTTGAATCAGTAAAGTGTATCTTTTTTTTTTTTTTTTGGAGAGGTTTTTGCTATAGGGCGTGTGCGCTCGCCAGCCAGACAGAGAGAGACAGAGAGACAGAAAGCGAGAAATCACCCCCCAGAGGAGATGGTCACGCCGCAATCCCTTCTCCTCCATTCTCCTCTCGGGATTTTGGGCATGCATGCACATGCACCTGGCGTGAGTTCTAAGTCACCGGGTTCAGGACGCGAACCGCGGTCGACTACATGGGAGTCCAGCGACATAGCCATTACGCTAACTGCTGCTTCCCTTAATGCAGTTTCTTTATTAAGCTAGAATATCAGAAAAGTATACGAAGTCTTCAAAAAAGTTCATGGAAATGTGTATTATGAAACAAATTTGCATGGTTTTCACATTTTTTTGGTATCAAAATAAACTCATTTTATTCCATGAACTTTTTGAAGCCCCTTCAAAATTTTAAGTTATTAATTTTTACATACTTATACATAATATATCACAGATCTCTTTACTTGATAAGGCATTATCAGTATTTTAACAGATGAAGAAACTGAGGCTTAAGAGAAGTGGAGTAACTTGTCCCAAGTTTTAGAGCTAAAATGCAATAGGGCTAGAAATTGGACCTGATCTTCTCTTACTTAATGACCTTGGCTTCTTTGAGTTGTGGTCTAACATTACAAGCTCAATTTTCTTATGACTAAGACAGAAAATAATTAATTGCTCCTTCAAAAAGTCTGTAGAAAAATGGAATTAAAGTATGACTTTATTTTGGTGCAAAAAAATTTTAAATTCATACATAGTTTTTTCACAGTATGCATTTTCCAAGAACTTTTTGAAGAACCCCTAACACACATACACTGTCTCTTGTTTAACAATGAGAACAATTTCATCAATTGGGTTTTTCCTTTTTTATCTTGCCATCTAAAAACTAAGTTAAATTTCGTATTCAATTTCAGTAAATATCTTATATTAGATTCCTGTTATATCTATTTCTCACTTTCTTTTTGACAGTTTCTGGTCTTACTTTTTAAAACAAATTTTACCTAAACATCCTGTATTTATGTTTTTATTCTGAATTAACTCATTTTGAAGGAAGCAGACAGAATTGTAAATTAATAGTATCAAAAAAAATCTCTAAAAGCTATGTATTTATTCTTCTAATACAATTATGTTCAAAATAAGAATCACTGACTAAAAAAGGAAATTTAATCTTTCCTACTGAAAACTTTTACTGACATGATCAGTGAAATTTTTTTTACCATAAATAAATCTGAAAAAATAGTGAGGTAATGTCTCAAACCAGAAGTTCATAATCAACCTAAGAGAACACTGAAAATTGCTTAAGCATAGGTATAGTTTTTAGATCAGTATTAACAGCCAACACAGAAATCAAAACCAGACAAAAGCCACATATAAGAAATAAGGCAGCAAAACAAAAAAGGAAGACAAATAAGAAGGAAAGATCCTTCACTTTACTTTAAAATGATTTTCATGATATGGAATGCTTCCCCAGTGCACATATACATTTTGGAAACAAGGGGTTTAAGAGAAACAAAAAGCTTTTATGGTCACAGAATAAAATCTTACAAATAGAGCTTACTAAAGAAATAGCTCTACATTTAACTAGATGCATTTGACTTTTTGGGGGGACAGGCAGGGACTGAAGAAATACTTTTCCTTCATGGTAATGTCCCCTTTTCAGCATACTGGATAATTAAAATTATTTATAAAGCTAAACTGTTACTCAGGCATTCCCCTTGACAAAAGAACCTGGGATTATATTATGTTAAAAAAATATATATTTATATATACATAAAATTATATATATTTATAATATATGTATAATATTTGGGGGAAATAATGGACAGAAAATTTAAACTTCCAGATAACAATGGGATTTTTTTTTAGATCCCATGAATCTGATTTATATATTTAATTTTAGAAGACATTTATTTTAAATATATCAGTGCCCGACCCTTTTAATAGCAGTTTACCTTAAACAGTAGAGGAATTCTGAAATTCAGGAATTCAAACCACCCCATTCTTTTTATGGAAATAAGTATTTTAAGAATCACCTGACTATCAGAGACAATTTCAGTCTATATATGTTCCCTTCATTGTTATATCATTTTGTGAAGTGACAGCATGAATGAAAAAAAGGATTAGGATAAATGATAGTTTATGAGTTCTTACTATGTTCTAGGCACTGTTAACAAAAATCTTATGAGATGAAAGCTTTCTGTTATCTTCATTCTGTAGATGAGGAAACTAAGGCATGGAGAGAATCGAACTCGCTCAAGTAATTTACAAAGTCACTAGAGAGCGGAGATGGAAACTGAACCCAGGCCCTGGCTCTATGGCAAGACTCGAAATCAATAAGAACCACTAAGCAATTTTAGGACTCAAATAAAGATATAAAATTACACATATATTTTTATAAAATAAGATAGACTATGATATAATTTGCTATACAGATATTTCAATTTTTATACTTAATTTGGGTAGGTGGAACTTTAGTAAAATCTAGGTAAATAATATGAATAGTCTTCTCTTTCTTAAACGTCTATGGGCAGTGAATGGAAAGGGATATTCTTCTTCTTTTTTTTCTTTTAAAGAATTATTTTATTTAACTTTATTTATTATTATATCATTATTATTTTTCAGTTTGATCAGAGAGAGACAGAGAGAGAGAGAGGAAGTGAGAAAGCAAGCCACCAGGTCCAAGACTTGAAACGTGGTCGGCCATGTGGGAGTCCAGCGCCTTTAACCACCACGCCACTTGCCAGCCCCCGGGATATTATTCTTGATGTACCATATATTCTAGGGATGTATGTGGGAGAATAATAAAGTAGGACTACATCAAGAAAATAAATATTTCCAAAATCAGTAATTGATTTGTTTAATGCTACCGATGAATCCAACTATATTTTACAACTTAGAAGATACCCTATGTAGTTTTAGTTTATTTTTTCATTTATTAATCTTAGAGTAGTCAGAAAAAATTATATATGAAAATTAAAAGAGAATTTAAGAAATCAAACTGGTAATAGAATGACATTACAGAACCAATAAGGCTAGAAAACATTCTTAAACCAGTCAAAGCTACATCTCTGCCCCATCACACAGTACACAACCAGATAATGTTCAAGGCCATAAAACATTTATTGAGAAAACATGGTTTGCAAAGCCTTTTAAAAAACTCCCTTCTCCCACTTCCAAAGAAAATTGTAATTGTAGCCAACAATAGCATTTGATGACATACCTCAAACATTCTAGCAGCAGTACACCTCACCAGTGCTGACGTGTGGACAACACCGTACCAAAGAACAGTTAACAGTAACTCATGGTAGGCTGGATTTGCCCTGGAAGAACAAAAACTCAACATTAAAACTGCAAGTCGTAGTCCTTACTGGGGTACTGAAACTACTATCTTTATAAGGATTTTAATGATAAAAATATTGGCAGAACATAAACTATCTGCATGGTTTAATAGGTCACAGCTAAGATTCTATAAAAATGAAATCACCTTATAAAACCACAGCCTTTTAGCATATTCAGAAATCATACTTCTAGTTTCCCTAAGCATTTGCAATTGTCATAGAAATTTCAATTCTTTTTAATAATATGATAGTTAAAATGATAAAGAAAAGGAGCGAGCACATGGTGCAGTAGTTACGTCACTGGACTTTCACATGCCTGACTGCAGTTCAAGTCTCTTGGAACCTGTAGCTTGAAGATCACACTGGGTGCATGTATGTGGGAGTACCCAAGATGTCAGAAGGAGAATGTGGATGATTTCTCACTTTCTCTCTCACTATCTCTGTTTCTCTCTCTCTCTCTGGTGAGCACACACACCCCATGGCAAAAACCTCTAAAAAAATTATAAAGAAAAACAAAATTTCTCTATATGAAATCTGGACTGAGTCAGATGGATAAATTAGAACTTCTGAGCCTTAGTTTCTGCTTCTATAAAAACTGGGAAAGTGGGACCGGCAGGTGGCATGGTGGTAGGGGGCACTGCATTCCCACATGGCCGACCGGTTTGAGTCACGGATCTGGTGGCTTGGTTTCTCATGTTCCCTTTTTCTCTTTCTGTCTCTGGTCAAATTGAAAAATAATAACAACAAATGGGATTAAATAAATAAACAATTCTTTCAGGAAAGAACTGGGGAAGTAATCTATGTCCCTATTTATGTTACATGGTTGTTTCGGCATCGAATAAGATCAACTCCAACCGTCTATATGGAGTAGGTTGGTTGTGAAACCTATCCAAATGTACGATGGTATTATTAATAAATGCACAAGCTTATTTTCAGAAAAGATGGAGATAAAACTACTTCGGCGGCCAAATGGCATGATTACGTGCAGGATTAAGCAAATCAAACAGAATAGAAAAAGGAGCCAGAGGAGCTGCCTTTAATTAAGGCTCTGAGCTCTTTCAGTTCTGGAAAGCTAAATTTTCTTCAAATCTGTACTTGATTTTATTTCTTTAACTGCTTCAAGAAAAACATATATATGCTCCTTTTTCCCTGCTTCTTTACTACAATGGACTGATTATAAATTATGGGGTTGTTGGAAAAGTCATGATGTATTTTTTTCTTTGCAAAAATGTATCATGACCTTTCCCACAACTCAATATTAAAGAGTGCAAATAAACAAAATGTAAAAAAAAACCCCAAACAAAAGAAATCTTAGCTCTCAAAACCAAGAGAATTGGTGTGTATGCCCATCTTTTTAGACTTAAAATATGTATTCAATAAATACAATTAAAAATTTTTATATGTCTTTTAAAAACTATAAACTTTAATTTTTTACCCCAGTTCCACAAAAGAAGCCTTCAGGCTATCAAGAGGCGCATGAGATAATGAAAGTAGGGTCATTACATCTTCTAAGAATCCCACTAACAGTTTCCGATCTTCTTCCTGCAGAAGAAAATTAAGGACACTGACCATCCATGCAATCAGAATTAAATACCATAATTACCTATCTGTAATCAGCGAACGCTACGGAAGAAGAACAAAATATCCTAATTTGGAAGTTATCTTAATTAAAGATATTCATAAAGCACATTTGTGGTCAAAATGGTATGAGGACAAAGATTAAATTGATTCTTTTATTCAGATCTGTACTGTTCAGTATGATAGCCACCAGCCATGTATGGTTATTTATATTTAAATGAAAAATGAAGCAATATAAAAGATTTAGCTCTTCAGCAGTTCTAGCCACCTATAATTCAAAGCCCTAATAACCCTATGTGGCTAGTGTCTACTATGTTAGACAGCTCAGCTATAGATTACTTCCATACTGCAGAAAGTTTTATAGGAGCATCCTGATTTAGAACATTAAAAGGTATAATCTTTTATTAAAATGTACTTTGCTGATTTTAGTTCTCGGCAATTTTGCTTCACTTAGCTAAATACAAATTATTGAAACAGTTATCTCTGTAATAATAGAAGACTGATTTCTAAGAAATTATCTGTGCAATATCCTAATGACAAAAAACTTCATGCTTGCTGAAATATAGACCACTGTGTTTTATTTCTTCTTAAGTTTTGCTATAGGGCACATGCACTTGCCAGAAAGAGACAGAGAGAAACCAAGAGAAAAAGTGAGAAAGCACCCCAGGGGGGATGACCATGCTATAATCCTTTCTCCTCCGTTCTCCTCTTGGGATTTCGGGCATGCACACACATGCACCTAGAGTGTTTTTTTAAGCCGCCATGTTAGGGGCTTGAACCTGAGAGTCAGCCTAGTGAGATTCAGCTGCCTTAACCACTACACCACTGTCTGGTCCCCACTATGATCTTAAAAGAAACAGTTACACCCTTTGATAAAAAAATAAATCAGTATTTTTCACACTTCTTCAATGAGCCATTATTGCTTTCATAATTAAAAAGTATTTATTTCTTTTTATACAGTACTCTATTTTTTCTTTTTTTTGGGAGAGGTTTTCGCTATAGGGTGCGTGCACTCGCCAGACAGACAGAGAGAGACAAAGAGACAGAAAGCGAGAAATCATCCCCCGGAGGGATGGCCACGCTGCAATCCCTTCTCCGTTCTCCTTTTGGGATCTTGGGCACGCATGCACACGCGCCCGGCGTGAGTTTTAAGCCACCAGTCCGGGACGCGAACTGCGGTTGAATACGTGGGAGTCCAGCAACATAGCCATTATGCTAACTGCTGGTCCCTATATAGTACTCTATTAAGAAATACGATAGAAAAAGCAAACCTGTTAAATTAGGAGGAGTTAAAAAATAATAACCGTAGCCAACCATGGTTCAAGTTCCAGACCCAGTTACCTGAAAATCACCCTGAGCGTGTATGTGTGCAATGCCCAAAATCTCAAGAAGAGAATGGAGAAGGAACTGTGACATGGCCATCCACTCTGGAGAAGGGATAATTTCTCTTTTCCTGTCTGTGTCTGTCTCTGGTAAGTGCATGTACCTTATGGCAAAAACAAAAATATGAAAAACAAAAAAAAAAACCCAAACCAATCTTTGTATGTTAAGTTCACTAGAATCTACAAGGAAAGGTAATCATATAGTCTATTAAGAAATAAACATGGGGTTCGGTAGGTGGCGTGGTGGTTGAGGGCGCTAGACTCTCACATGGCTAACCACGGTTCGAGTTCTAGATCTGACGACTTGCTTTCTCTGTCTCTCTCTCTTACACTCTGTCCCTCTCTAGTCAAATTAAAATAAATAAGTAAATAAAGTTAAATAAAGTAATTCTTAAAAAATGAAAAAAATATGTAATAAACGAAAGTCAATTTATCATTAGGGACATAGGAAATCAACAATAAATATCTTCTGAATGTATCAAAAGATACATGAGAAAAATTGGTTAGTACTGATCATTTTTTCTTCTACATAGATTAGTTAAGAGTGAGAAAGAGTTACAGTATTAGCCAAAGTAACAAAATGAAAAAAGGATAGCTATAGCAGTCTTATGTAGTACTAAGGCAGAGGCTCTGATGAACCAGCTTCAGGGCAGCATTAGAAAAGAGATCTCACCCACTGTTAGTGCCTTCTATGTCAAACATAGAGTAGATCTAACTTTAGAAAACAAACTGGAAATCCAAAAACAACAACAACAACAAACCACACATACAAACACAAAACTCAGAGTAAAATAAGAGCTATTTAATAAGACTTCTAAATGACTATGGATTCCTTTGTTTTTTGAAATTGTATATTATCTAATTTTTCATTATTGAAATTTCAAAGTAAGTAGTAGTATTTGTGTATTTGATTCAAATAGTTTATGTTTACTCAGGCAAATAGGGCTGTGATAGAGCCTGATTAATTTTTTTTGTTGAGTAAGAGAAATATCAACTGTTGGTGCTTCCTTAATCAACACTCTTAATATGTGATTGCTACCTCAACTTATTACATGTTTCGTAACAAGCTGAAGAGTTCTTATGTCTTCAGAGATATGATTAATTCCGACTTCATAGTGGCTCAAAAGACATGCCCTTATTCATTTATTCCACATATCTATTCTAAGGGCCTACTATAACATTTTATTATTCTTGATACTCCATTATGCTTTAAAGTGTTATTTATAGTCAAAATCAAAATACAAACTCTGAAATGTTTAAAAAGAGAGAGTGAAATATTGATAGCATACTCCTTGTTATGCTGGAACAGATGCTGAAGGGAGGAGAATGATGTGCATGGTATTGAGACTGGCCCTGTACCAGGACTTAATATCCTCGATGTCGTGAGTTCAAGACTAGTACAGACAACCTACCAACATATGATTCAAAACACCCTACACACAAAGATTATGTGTGTATACATACCACGAGGTAGTCTCAGATACTAGTGTAGAAATGTTGAAAAGAATAGTGTGCTACTTTAACAGAACTGGAGCTTCTATTGCAAGATATCAAGCAACTATTGAACTGTATTTTAATGTAGGATGACTCAACTCTGATTTGGAAGAATAGATTCAGCTGCCTTAACCACTACACCACTGTCTGGTCCCCACTATGATCTTAAAAGAAACAGTTACACCCTTTGATAAAAAAATAAATCAGTATTTTTCACACTTCTTCAATGAGCCATTATTGCTTTCATAATTAAAAAGTATTTATTTCTTTTTATACAGTACTCTATTTTTTCTTTTTTTTGGGAGAGGTTTTCGCTATAGGGTGCGTGCACTCGCCAGACAGACAGAGAGAGACAAAGAGACAGAAAGCGAGAAATCATCCCCCGGAGGGATGGCCACGCTGCAATCCCTTCTCCGTTCTCCTTTTGGGATCTTGGGCACGCATGCACACGCGCCCGGCGTGAGTTTTAAGCCACCAGTCCGGGACGCGAACTGCGGTTGAATACGTGGGAGTCCAGCAACATAGCCATTATGCTAACTGCTGGTCCCTATATAGTACTCTATTAAGAAATACGATAGAAAAAGCAAACCTGTTAAATTAGGAGGAGTTAAAAAATAATAACCGTAGCCAACCATGGTTCAAGTTCCAGACCCAGTTACCTGAAAATCACCCTGAGCGTGTATGTGTGCAATGCCCAAAATCTCAAGAAGAGAATGGAGAAGGAACTGTGACATGGCCATCCACTCTGGAGAAGGGATAATTTCTCTTTTCCTGTCTGTGTCTGTCTCTGGTAAGTGCATGTACCTTATGGCAAAAACAAAAATATGAAAAACAAAAAAAAAAACCCAAACCAATCTTTGTATGTTAAGTTCACTAGAATCTACAAGGAAAGGTAATCATATAGTCTATTAAGAAATAAACATGGGGTTCGGTAGGTGGCGTGGTGGTTGAGGGCGCTAGACTCTCACATGGCTAACCACGGTTCGAGTTCTAGATCTGACGACTTGCTTTCTCTGTCTCTCTCTCTTACACTCTGTCCCTCTCTAGTCAAATTAAAATAAATAAGTAAATAAAGTTAAATAAAGTAATTCTTAAAAAATGAAAAAAATATGTAATAAACGAAAGTCAATTTATCATTAGGGACATAGGAAATCAACAATAAATATCTTCTGAATGTATCAAAAGATACATGAGAAAAATTGGTTAGTACTGATCATTTTTTCTTCTACATAGATTAGTTAAGAGTGAGAAAGAGTTACAGTATTAGCCAAAGTAACAAAATGAAAAAAGGATAGCTATAGCAGTCTTATGTAGTACTAAGGCAGAGGCTCTGATGAACCAGCTTCAGGGCAGCATTAGAAAAGAGATCTCACCCACTGTTAGTGCCTTCTATGTCAAACATAGAGTAGATCTAACTTTAGAAAACAAACTGGAAATCCAAAAACAACAACAACAACAAACCACACATACAAACACAAAACTCAGAGTAAAATAAGAGCTATTTAATAAGACTTCTAAATGACTATGGATTCCTTTGTTTTTTGAAATTGTATATTATCTAATTTTTCATTATTGAAATTTCAAAGTAAGTAGTAGTATTTGTGTATTTGATTCAAATAGTTTATGTTTACTCAGGCAAATAGGGCTGTGATAGAGCCTGATTAATTTTTTTTGTTGAGTAAGAGAAATATCAACTGTTGGTGCTTCCTTAATCAACACTCTTAATATGTGATTGCTACCTCAACTTATTACATGTTTCGTAACAAGCTGAAGAGTTCTTATGTCTTCAGAGATATGATTAATTCCGACTTCATAGTGGCTCAAAAGACATGCCCTTATTCATTTATTCCACATATCTATTCTAAGGGCCTACTATAACATTTTATTATTCTTGATACTCCATTATGCTTTAAAGTGTTATTTATAGTCAAAATCAAAATACAAACTCTGAAATGTTTAAAAAGAGAGAGTGAAATATTGATAGCATACTCCTTGTTATGCTGGAACAGATGCTGAAGGGAGGAGAATGATGTGCATGGTATTGAGACTGGCCCTGTACCAGGACTTAATATCCTCGATGTCGTGAGTTCAAGACTAGTACAGACAACCTACCAACATATGATTCAAAACACCCTACACACAAAGATTATGTGTGTATACATACCACGAGGTAGTCTCAGATACTAGTGTAGAAATGTTGAAAAGAATAGTGTGCTACTTTAACAGAACTGGAGCTTCTATTGCAAGATATCAAGCAACTATTGAACTGTATTTTAATGTAGGATGACTCAACTCTGATTTGGAAGAATAGTGCCATAAATATGACTTTTTGTTCTTTTAAGGTATTTCTTCTTCATTCTTACATTCTAATTTCTAAAAATACTTTATCCCAACCCCATATTTTAACTTTATTGGTAAGACAGTCTCACACTTAAAAATTACCACAGGTTGAGTATTCCTTATCTGAAATGGTTGGGACCAGAAATGTTATAGATATTTGTTATAGATATTGGATTTTTTTTTTTTTAATTTTGGAATACTCACATATACATAATGAAGTATCTTAGGTACAGGTCCAAGTCTAAACACAATGTCCATTTGTGTTTCATCTACAATTTAAACACATAGCCTAAAGGCAATTTTATCCAATATTTTAGTATTTTGACTATGACTTGTTCGCATGAGGTCAGATGTGGAATTTTTTTTACTACGGCATCCTGTTAGTTCAAAAAGTTTTGGAATTGGAAATACTTCAGGCTTTAGACTAGGAATGTTCAACCCATGATATGCCATGAGACTCATTATATACATTTTTATTTATTAATTTATCTTTTTTGAGAAAGACAGAGGGAAGGAGGAGGGAGGTCATCCGTAACAGTGTCCCCCTGCCATGATCTACTCCGTCTCAGCTGGGCTTGATCACTGGCACGCACATGCCTGGCGTGTTTAGGGAGGCACTGGGGTGTAAATGCTAAACCTCTCCCATTGGGGTCCAACTGTGTTACAGGTGTACCACTACCTGGCCTCAATCATGTGTTATCTATTTAAAACCTCTCCTTCAGTAATGTTAAATAGAGTGTAATAGTTTATTAGTTGGTGGCCATCAGACCACACCCCCTGGGGTTCAGACCCATAGTTTCCTTCTCTTGAATCTGGGCTGGGTCTGAGACTTATGTAACCAACAGACTACGGTGGAAATGTTTAATCCCAGGCCTAAAGCTTAGCCTAGAAGATTCTGTTTTTGCACTTTTGGGAGCTCCGAGCCACCATATAGTAAGATTACCTCTGCTGTTCTAAAGGTTATATGGGAAGAGAGAGGAGAGAGCAGAGAGGAGAGAGGCCCGGAGTCTACACTGTGTGGAGCTGAGCCTTCTTGCTGAGAGCCTGCTGGCCAACCAGCCTAATGCAGCAATACAAGTGACCACCAGCAAGAACGTCAGGAGGAGGAGGAGAGTCTGAGGAAAGACATTAAAGAGAACAATAGAGAGGCAGGACATTTATGGGACGTAGAGATAGATGATTATCTATGATTATCTCTTCATGATAATGTGTACAGGATCACCAACTGGACTGGTATGAAGTGTTTTCATGTTGGAAAATTCACTTTATAAACTAAGCGATGTATAGTGATTGAATATACAAAAGAAAGTAAATAAAAAAAAAATGGCAGAAGAGGAGCCACCCAAATGAAGCCCGGATGGCAAAATCATGAGCAAATAAAATGGTTATAACATTTTTTATTATGTTTTGGGATGGTGTGAAATACAGTAACAATTTAAAGAAATGAACTACTATTAAGAAGTCTGCTAAAAATGATGCTAAAGTCCAGCATTCTACAGTTTGTTTCATGTCACACATGTGCTCTATCATTTATCTCTGAGAAACATATGAAACACAAAGAAAGTATGCTAAATAATGCAACCCAGTATTTCTAACAAGATATCAAAAAGCACACAATTTCTAAATTCATTTGTTCAACTGAGATTTTACTCAGAGCCTTATTATTCAGATATGTTCACTATTATAAATTTTTTTGAACAAAAGGAATAAATGTTGTTTTACTTTATGAGTAGCATTTTCACCTATACACACATTAAGAAGACATAATATTAAGTATTTTTCTAAATAGCAAGTATTTTTACTGGAGATAAGAATTTTTCTCTTACCTGAATATAACATGTAAGGACTCCTGTTGCATAAATGGGGACTGTAGCTTTAGTGAGGACCCCAAGCTGAGGATTCTAAAATCATTAAAACAATTTAAAAAATCTGAGTATGTTTTAAATGTAAAGAAAAAGTCACAGTGTAATTATCTTTAAAATTTTAACTTTTTACAGGGTTATAAATATTATCATTACTTTGGAAAATACTGGGATTAAAACATATTCCTACTGGTTATTGTAAAATATAACTTAATGCTTCTTGAAGAAGCATTAGCATAAACATTTCTGATACAGGGAACAAAACTTCAATAATTAAAATGAGATGTTATACTCTTATTTCTGTAATCAGGAATCAGAGCTTTTTTTGAGTCTCCCAAGTGTTCCTACAGGTGGGTCTTCCCACTCTTAATGCTTTCTAGTGTGCAGTGCTTAGTGAAGTACAAAGGCACTCAGCTAGGAGCAAGTGTCTAGATACATGTTATTTCATCTGCTTCCAGTATAAGACCCCACCTAGTTTCCAATAGTAGCCTAATTCCAGAGGGCTCCTATATCTTTAACAGTGCTAACAACCAGACAGCCCTGATTAATTTTATGGAAAAGGGAGAAGTTAGGTTAAGTAAAATAGAAAAGCGGGGGAAGCGTCCTACCAAAGGTGTAAGCCCTAGGACTACTGTATATTAAGACATCTGCTAAAACAGTATCTGGTGACAATTTCAAAAGAAAAGTTCCAGAAATGATGATGAGATGAGAGTTATTATATGTAGCACCAGTAGCTCTCATTTACTGATCATTAGGTACTTTTGTGTTTTATCTTTGCTTTTATGTTCTCAAAAAATTTTTATTCCTACATTCCTATTTTTATGTGCTTTTCAGAAAGTAGTACATAAAGATACTAAGTTGAGAAAAATGTATTTAACTAACTTCCCTGGAGGAACTTTAGCAAAAACAAATGATTCATTTTCATATTAATTAATTGGTACTCGAAGTTTGTTTATTTTCTTGGCAAGAAACACCTGGAGAAGAGTACTGCTGTTAGTCAGGTATGGCTATGGTAGCAGAGGCGATCCAAGGCTGAGCATAAGCTTAGTAGCACGCACAGATACAGACTGCATGCATATCCAGGGGTCAATAGTCCCTTCCTATCTAAACAACTACACACTCAGAGCGAACTAATAAATCCAAAACCTGTCAGTCTCTAAAATATTTATCCTTTCTTTTCTCTAATTTACAATATCAAAGTAATAGCTAAACAGGTAATGCCAACACTCAGGCATTCTGCATTCTAAACATCGACCCTTTTAGAAATAAATAACATTTGGGAGGCATTTGACCTCCCCAAAATCTCATTACTGTTCTCAAAAGAATTTATTTATTCGTTCCCTAACTACCTCTGAGGACAGTCCCAAATTGAGTGTTCTAGACCGCTCAATTCAAATCACCAAGGTAGGATTTAATATCAGAATTATCTATACACTCTAAGTCAACCAAGTTGAAAAGATGTTGGGGGAATGATATACATTTCTTCTAACATTTTCCAGAGCTTATTCTGAGGACACAAGATCCAAACATAAAGTTCACATTAGGCCGATGGAGTTGTAACTAAGAAAGAATGAGTGAGAACTATCAAAGGGGAGAGGGGCTCTCCATTCAAGTCTGCAGTTTCTTTACTATCTCATGTTTCCCTTTAAAAACCAATACACATAACCTCTTATTCCTTTCCATATGCTAGTTTTAATTTTTATGAAGTTTTTAATAATTAACTGTGAATTAGATAATTTATAATTTTGGTATTATGAATATATTACTCCAAATCTCCAAAGGTACAAGTACCCAGAGTCTCAGCTTTAGGCCAATTTGCAATGAAGGTAGATATTTACAATCAAAATGATGAGGATTAATCTCACTTTCATCTCATGGGAAGGACAATATTATTAGATATGACAAATTCACATGAACTGAACACAGTATTTTTTCTGAATAAAGAAATCCAACTGTTACTAAGAGTGACAGTGAACAAACTTACCAATGTTTTCTTCAGACAGTCTTAAAATCTCCTGGAACTGAGGTTTTACCTAAGCAATCCAAAGAAAAGATCCAAAAAATCTCAAGTTCAATGGACCAATTGATAGTGAAACACACAAAATGTTTAGTACTGCTACTATTACTACCATTTATTTATTTTGCTTTATAGACTTCTGAGTCAAATGGCCAGAAATGTGTTTATTCTTTTTTTTGAGAGGTTTTTGCTATAGGGTGCATGTACTTGCCAGACAGACAGAGACAGAGAGATAGAAAGCGAGAAATCACCCCCTAGAGGGGATGGCCACACCGCAATCCCTTCTCCTCCAGGGATCTTGGGCACACACACACACACACACACACGTGCCCAGCATGAGTTTAAGCCACCGGGTCCGGGACTCGAACCGCGGTCGACTACATGGGAGTCCAGCGACATAGCCATTACGCTAACTGCTGGTCCCAGAAATGTGATAATTCTTAATTAAGTGTCTTAAGATTAGAGTCAAGATGAAATATCACTCTTTCTGGATAAATTTTTAAAAGGAATCAATTCAGGTCAATACATAGTTTCTCAGTGGTCTTTGGTTTCTTTCATAAACCTAAAGTAATTTCCAAGATGACTTTAAATGTTTGAAATTACTGCCTCCTAAAACTGAACTTGGTGCAGAAAAGTTCTATGCTTAGATTTTAGAATAGCATTCAGCAGTTTTTAAAAGGAATAAAAAGGATATTCCACTCATGTAGGGTGTTCAGTAAGTACCATCTATATCACATGATGTTATTAATTTTTTAGTTTTGCTTCTTAGGTTAAAGCAAATGCTTGTTTCAATTTTTTTATTACTCCAGTTATTGCAGCCCTCAGGCCACTGAAGACAACTAGTTAGCATTAAGTACTTAAAATTCCACTTGCCTTTTTTTTTTAAAGTTTATTTATTATTATTATTATTTGTTAATTTGACCAGAGAGAAAGAGAGAGAGAGAGAGAGAGAGAGAGAGAGAAAGCAAGAAAGCTGCCAGGTCCAGGACCTGAACCGTGGTTGGCCACATGGGAGTGCAGCACCTTAACCAGCACACCATTTGCTAGCCCCTCCACTTGCTTTTTTAATAAAAAATAATAGCTACTTATTGGAGAGATGTGAAACAATTTTGTCAAGTTTTCTTTCTTTCTTTCTTTCTTTCTTTCTTTCTTTCTTTCTTTCTTTCTTTCTTTCTTTCTTTTTTTAAGAGAGAATTTTGCTATAGGGTGTGTGTGCTTGCCAGAGAAAGCGAGAAATCGACTCCTAAAGGGATGGCCTCACTGCAATCCCTTCTCCTCCATGCTCCTCTTGGGATTTTGGGCACCCAGCGTGAGTTTTAAGCTGTTGGGTCTGGGTCTCAAACTGTGGTAGACTACATAGAAGTCCAGCAACATAATCATGATGCCATCTGCTGGTCCCTTGTCAAGTTTCTTTAAATAAGTAATTTTTTTTTTTGGAGAGGTTTTTGCTATAGGGTGCGTGTGCTCGCCAGACAGACCGAGAGAGACATAGAGACAGAAAGCGAGAAATCACCCCCCAGGGGGGGTGGCCACGCCGCAATCCCTTCTCCTCCATTCTCCTCTCGGGATCTTGGGCACGCACGCACACGCACCTGGCGTGAGTTTTAAGCCACCGGGTCCAGGACGCAAACCGCGGTCGACTACGTGGGAGTCCAGTGACAGCCATTACGCTAACTGCTGGTCCCTAAACAGGTAATTTTTAAAAAGTTTATTTCTTCTTTGAGTGAGACAGAGAAAGAGAGGAAGAGAGAGGGGAAGAGGGAGAGAGACAGCTAACCCTTTGCATCTAATAATAACAGTAAAAAATTTGTTAAACCATTAGATGCTAGGGACAATATAATATGACCGTTGTTTTTGTATAACATTAAGGTCTGGCTTTTGCTCTTCTATGGGTAGGTCAGGCATATTAACCTACATATGTAACTTAACTGAGAGGAGTATCACTGTTAAAGGATTAGTCTACTGAATTATACTTACAGAATTAAAAGACACTGATGCAACTTCATTTCATGTATGAAAAGACTAAGCCCAGCTAACTTATTTATTGAAGGTCTCAAACATTAGTTATAGGGCTGTAACTCAAGTCGTCTGAATTCTGTCCAGTTCATTATAGCACACTGTTTTGCTTTAAATGTTTCGATAACTACAGATTTAACAGTAAAGAACTGCACTAAATTAAATGTGATACTAAAAGTGCTTACCCTTTAAATGTTTGATTAACTTTTGATTATAGCAATTACATCTTTTTATGTTTTTATTAGATCTCTAAAGAACTGGCTAAACAATATGCTATGAAGATAAATAAATGAATAGGATTAAAGAAGAAACTGGAATCTAGGACATTTCAATTTTACTATCTACACCCACAAAACAATCCATATAGGCAAATGGCACTTTTATTGTGGTACTGACTGAGATGTGGCAGTATCTGTCTCCAGTGACCATGCTACTCTAAGAGGCGGTGTCCTTGCAACAAGTGCTAATACATGAAAGTTGCTGTGGTGCCACGATTGTCTGAGATGTTAGCGGGTGTGCTGAGCAAAGAGCTGCTTTCTAAACCTGTAGAAAGTAAAGTGTCGGGTTGATATTTCCCACGTTGGAATGCTCTAGAATAAATCCTTGAAAGTTTTGTACAAACCAAGTCCAGGCTTAATTACCTTCTGAAAATCAATAAAGACAAGAATATTCCCAACTAGTTTTTATAATATTCTAAAATATGAAGAGATCAGTAAACAAAGGGCTCATGCTTTTATTTATTGATAGAGGGTTAATTAACACACTACATTTCTATGTCTCTTGCATATAAAAAACATGGAATACGAGTTTTTACCTTAGTGTTTGTAAAAATTTTGCCAAATGTCCGGCAAAGGCGCCAGAAAAATCTGGAGAATTCATGGACACAGGCAGTTGAAGTAACATTAATTTTGCCAACTATTTCTATAAGTTGTGGCAACCTGAATATGAAAGGAAAAAAAAAAATAGGCAGGGGACACACATAAATTACTGTATCCTTGACAGTTTCTGAAACAATGTATATGCAATAACATTTTTTGTTTTGTTCTTTGAAAGCAAAGAAATTGTGTGGGGCCCTTAGTAAAGGTCTTAAGATTACAATCTACTGTATAAACATCTTAAAACAAATTTTGACTGTTTGCCACAAAACATATGGAACCTTAATGACAGAGTTGGTATTGAGTTAATGAGACTCAGATCTATGAATGCGATGCTTCCCACGAGCTTGGCAAACCATCAGCACTGTTAGATAAACAAGGCAGCAGACAGGCCATCTAGACATAGTACAGCAGTCCCTTTTTCACAGATAAATGCAAATCAGTGGTATGAATATTTCCTCTCTTAAAGATGTTTACCATAGATGCTGATATCAAATGATATATTAGAAAATTGTGAGTTATTTATTTTTTCCAATTTGCTATAGAATGTGTGTATTCACCAGAGAGAGACAAAGAGAGAGAAAGGGAAAGTGAGAAAGCACCCTCTAGCAGGGATGGCCACACTACAGTCCCTTCTTCTCCATTCTCCTCTTGGGATTTTGGGTGGACACACACACGAGCCTGGTGTCCTTCTCAAGTCACCTGGTCCACAACTCAACTCTCAACTGTGTAGTAAGCCATGTGGGATCCAGTTATCTCAACTACCATACCATGGACTGGCCCAGAAATTGTATTTTGTCCCTTAGTGTCAATACTAAATACAATGCACTGTTTTCCACTCAACTGATTAAGTACACCAAATGCATATAGAGGTGGTAACTTACAATTGATTGACAACCCACAGTAAACTCTCCCAGCCTGTTGTACCCTCGTGTTCCAGCTGGTAATCATAAAGTTGTAGCAGCACTGCCAATTGCTCACGACTTCCGATAATAGTAGACACATCTTGAAGAGGTGACATAGGCCGAGGAAATCTCGTCACTATAAATAATAGAAGCAAAATAAATTCCACGGAAAATGGCAGTTTGGGAACCAACTTAGTCCACTAAGAGAAATATAAGGTCCTTCCCCTGATATTTAGTTTCTCATAAGCTTTAAACATAAAACTGAAACTTATTAATCAATTTTAGGAAAAAAGTGAAATAAATTCTTGTCATATGTGAACGAACCCAAGAAATCTCAAAAGTTAAGATTTTATGACCCTATATAGCTAAAAAGGGAGTACTGTGATGCAATATGGATAGTTTTCTACTGAAGATTAGAATTTCATTTACGTTAAATTGGGTCAGATAAGACTTTTAACTAAAACATGGTTTAAAAAAAATAGAGCTTCACCAGACTACGTCAATGAAATATAAAATAAGACAAGATGTTTCTGTCAAGGCATAAGGAATTAATAGGTTATAACGGGGAAAAAAACTGTTCAGTACCAGAGAATAATGATATAATATAGTAACGGCTGACCTGAATAGGTTCCTTTAGTATTCGATTGCCAATATTAAAATATTTAATTCATAGTTTGATAAACACTAATATGAAAAGTTAAAAGTCAGTGACCAGTAAGATAAGACAAAGTACACTATAGATAATATAGTTGGTGTCCCATGATATGTACTTTGAGTATACACACACTGGTATGTTTCGAAAGTTTAAGTGTATAATCATACAGGTAGGAAAGTCTACAATCATACAGACAGTAATTAAAAAAAAAAATCACCAGAGTGTGTGTGTGCTCACTAGAGAAAAAGAGGGAAGGAAAATAAGGAGGGGAAGAGAGAGAAGAGCAACCCTCTCCCAAATGGGGAATGTTCCCGCCATAGTTCCTTCTCTTTCACTCTTCCCTCCCGTTGGGATTTTGGGCATGAATGTACACAGCCCAGCATGTCCCTCAAGCTGCTGGGTCTAGGAACTGCATTGTTGGCCATGTGGGATCTAGCCGCCTTAAGCTCCAGGTCATAGGCTGGCCTGATAATTTGATCCCAGGTTATAAAGGGTATATTTCTTAGATGCCTATGTAGTAGATAAGGTCTGTCAATGCTCATTAACTGGTGATCAGAAATCACTGATGGAAGCAGCATCTACATAGAAGCAAACACCCTACAAAAACACATAAGGAGGCAGTACTTTTTAAAAACATATTAATGGCTTAATGGTTATTTTCTAGCTTTAGACAATTTGAAAGAGCATTTATTTATTTATTTATTTATTTTTTTGGGAGAGAGATTTTTTTGCTATAGGGTGTATACATTTACTGGAAAAAGAGAGAAAGAGAGATGGAAAGCAAGAAATTACCCCCAGAGCAATGATCACACCATAATCCCTTCTCTTCCATTCTCCTCTTAGGATCTTGGGCACACACCCACAGGCGTCTGGTGTGAGTTTAAGCTGCCGGGTCCAGGACCTGAACCACGGTTGAGTATGTGGAATCCAGCGACATAACCATTACACCATTTGCTAGTCCCATGAGCATTAATCTATTTGCTATGTGCCGGTCCCAGAGCATTTAACTTTAACAGTGCTTAAAGACAAAACTAAGGGGATGGCAGGTGGCATGTGGTTAAAGGGTTCTGGATTCCTACGTGGCCAACCGTGGTTCGTGTCCTGGACCTGATGCCTTGCTTTCTCACTTTCCCTCTTTCTCTCTTTCTCTCAATCTGTCCTTCTCTGGCCAAATAAAAATAAATAAATAAATAAATAAAATAAAGTTAAATAAAATAATTCTTAAAAAAAAAAAAAAAACCACAAAGATGCTATTGTACTCCTGTGCTGCACCAGGCATTTAATAATATTTTAAATAGGGGCCAGTAGGTGGCCTAGTGGTTAAAGCGGCCAACCACAGTTCGAGTCGCAGACCTGGTGGGATGCTTTCTCACTCCATCCCCACTCCCTGTCTCTCTAGTCAAATAAAAAATAAGACTAATAATAATTAAGTAAATAAGTCTTTATAAAATAATAAATTAAATAGAGATAAAGGTTATCCTTTTATGTGAACTCTATTTGCTATGATGATACAAAAACAAATAAAACAATGCATTTGTAACATGGCATCCTTTACTAACTAAGGTTTCTGCTTGAATTCTCACTATCCCAACCCAGATTTCAAGTAGATTGGATGGTGAGGGATATCTGTAACTCTATATTATGTCACAGGATACCTGACGCATTTTTACATAGAAAAGTATAGAAAAATATATCATGACTTTTCCAGTAATCTAATACTTTACACCATTTTGATCTCGTAGCTTTGTGTATCCTTGGACACATGGCATCATCTCCCAAAGACTATAGGTAGACCACAATTTCCTTAACATAAAAAAAGTAATTCTAAAAACATTAAGTGTCTTAGGCTATTCTCAATGTCCTAACTCTTCTTTTATTAAAAGCCAGTAAGAGATATGGGCAATTTCAACAATCTGAAAAAGCTGCAAAGGTACCTCATTCACAGTAGCAGCTTATCAGTAGCCATCGACCCTGGGGTAGGTGCTGCAGGTAATTAATTACCCGCCAGGTACCAAAGGCCACTTACTGACCACCTGGGGAGTGAAGTAAGAGAACACTGACCTCTGCTGTCAGTTCCATGTACTTCTGAAAATAAGCCACATAGCGCTTTTTAGAAAAAAGAAAAATTCTTCCACATAGCTTATATTCATTTCTATCAAGGACATTGTTGAAAAAAGTGATTATATTTTCCTTTCCCTATCAAAAATAAGATGAAAACAGGGAAGAAAAAAATATAAAGAAAGTAGAAATGACAAGCTTCACATACTGTTAAGCACATCTTTCCAGTGACTCAGATCTATTCAAGGAAGAAAACTTATTCCAGGCTCTGTCCCTCCCAAAAGCTATAAAAAGACTATCTAAAGAATGGCGAGTATAAATAGTAAAACACCATGATAATTTTCCATAAAAGATGAAGCCTTACCGTTTATAAGATATCACTTATGAACATGAGACTCCACACATATAATACATTCCCGTAATCATGCTGTCACACAAGTTCTTTTGAACATTCCCGTAATTATGCTGTCACACAAGTTCTTTTTAATTGCCAGGGATTCATGTATTTGCCAGAGAGGTAGGGAGACAGGGAGAGACAGGGGGAGAAAGCACCCACGAATAGGGTGTGGTCAATCACGATCCCCTCTCCTCTGTTTCTCAGTCCTGTTGAGATTTTAGGCATATACGCAGGGCATGTTTTTCAAGCTGCTGGGGCCAGGATATGAATTTTAGTCGGCCATGTGGGATCTGGCTCCCTTAACTACTAGGCCACGGTTCCAGCACATAAGTGATTTTTAGAATTTTAATTGAAAATAATTTTTGTAAAGTTAAGCTGCTAATACTCTACTGGGATGTTGGAAAAGTCCTAACACATTTTTGCACAGAAAAACATAGACAAATACGTCATGACATTGCCGAAGACCAAATATATTTTCTTGCCAGCACTTAAGTTCAGTACCTTCTATCTGTGGCACTTCACCATGAAGCTTGGCTTTGCTGGAAAAAGGAGCATTCTGTAGCACTAATGCAAAGAGAGATGGGATCAACGACTGCAAGGCAGAAAGGTACATGTGTAACTTGTGCTCATCCAGCCCATGTTCTCCTTCCTGAAACATAAGGAGGGGAAGCTAATTTAGCACTGGGAAATTGCACTGCTAATCTGAGCTCTGATGAGCTTCCTTTCTGTGGCAAATCAAACACTTAAGGACCTGTACATGCTATGTCAAAACATAAAACTTAATGCAGATGTCCATGAATCTTTCTTAATTTCTCTAAGTACATGAAGATGTAAAGATGCAATAAGACACTATAGAATAGAACCTTTCACATGGAAAACTTTAGGGTAACATTAGTCATTTCCACTTGTAGGAAAAAGTTTTACAGGTTTGCTTTTTTTTTTTCTTTTTAAGTTTATTCTTTCATTACCTCCATGAGAGAGAGAGACAGAAAAGGAGAGAGAGAGTAAGAAAAAGAGACAGGCACATCCAACAGAGTCTTATGCTACACTCTACCCCAGCCTCAGCCAGTCCAGATCATGAGTCCATACATGCCCACCCAGTGTGTATAGGGAAGTCCCAGGACATGAACTGGGGACCTTCCTACGTGGGTCCCACTGCATCACTGCTGCACCACCATCCTGCATCACTTAGAGATGGTTTTATCTTTTGCAAATCTTTAAGTCAGGTACAGGCATTGAAGTGAGCTACAGGAATCATTTTAAATACTCAGCTACAAGCCCAGCAGCAACTCTTAACCATATCCCCTCTCCTACTTCTTATATCCTTTAATAGATTTGGTGACATCTGTATTTGGAGGTATTAAAAGAACTTTAAAAATAATTCAATGCATAAGTAAAATATGGGAGAAGAAACAAAAGAAAGATAACAGAAAAAAGTAAAAAGGATCAGTATGTTATAAACTAATATTAAAGTGAAAAATATTGTAGAGACATTAGGACTGAAAGCATTTACTGATCAACGTGCGATGCCATTATTATAAACTAACAACTGTGTCAGAAATACCAGCAATGTGAATTATTTTCTGTCAGGTTCTAAACTGGTTTATTTCTTCACGAAAGAATTATTGTCTATGTTGAATATGACAGACATTTTAGTAGGAATGTGAGATTCAACATGTTAGGGAATGGGACAAGGAAAACCAGGTATGGGAATTCGCATAAGAGATGTAATCACTTAAAACACCTAAAAAATCTCCTAAGTTTCACTGGGGCCAGCAAGTGGCCTGGTGATTAAGGTGCTGGACTCCTACATGGCTAACTGTGATTTGAGTCCCAGACCTGGCGGCTTGATTTCTCACTTTTCCTCTCATTCTCTGGTGAGCAAATTAAAAATGATAATCATAAAAAGTAGATGAAAAATAAATAAATCTTTAAAAAAATTCCCTAGGTTTAATAAGAAGGGGTAACTTCAGTCTAATTATTTACCTACAGTTCTTTTTTTTTTTTTTGAGAGTTTTTTGCTATAGGGCGCGTGCACTCACCAGACAGAGAGAGACAGAGAGACAGAAAGCGAGAAATCACCCCTCAGGGGGGATGGCCATGCTGCAATCCCTTCTCCTCCATTCTCCTCTCGGGATCTTGGGCACGCACGCACACGCGCCCGGCATGAGTTTTAAGTCACCAAGTTCGGGACGCAATCCACGGTCCCACGATCGACTACGTGGGAGTCCAGCGATATAGCCATTACGCTAACTGCTGGTCCCACCTACAGTTCTTTTTTAAATACCCATTTGAAAATCCTGGCTAGAACAGCACAATTTTTAAGTTAAATTAATATTTGTGGATACATATGAGACCATCTATGAACTTTAAAGATCTTTTAAAATTTGGGGATAGGAAAGGCGAGAGTTTGGAATCAGAGATCTTTATCAGAGTCAGGTTCCATCACGGGACACCTGTGGGGCACTGGCAAGTTACTTACACACTAAGTCTCAGTTTTTGCATTAAAAAAAAACAAAACAAAACACAACACCAAGGATTATAAGAATAAAATTAAATTTTTATATCTAAATTATCTACCTTAATGGAACATAATAGACATTAAAAGAAATATCAACTTCTCCTTTAGTCTCTAACAGTAACTTCTAATATGAAAGTTAGTTCAAGAAATTTCTATCATTTCTTCAATATTTCTATTTTTTTTTTTTAAATGGGAAGAATGAGAAGTTCTTTGCAAAGAATGAGGGAATAAACTATCGCAGTGGAATAAACACAGTTAAAGCAATCTGACCCCATGTAAACAAGACAGCTTCAGACACTCATAGTTGAATTGTCTCCGCATTCTGGGACAGGCGCTGACACAGCACGTGACTACTTAGGGCCTCAGAGAGGCCAGGAGTAACGCAGGAGTTACTCTACAAAGGGACTACCTCACCTACACATGCAGTCAGGCCCCTTTCTCCTCTAGTTTCAGCAAAGCAAAACGTCCTCAATCTCTCTCTTGGCTCTATTTTGTCAGAATTTTTAAATGGTAGTGCATTGGAATGTTCAGCTGACTGGGGCTTTTCGTCTCTGCTTCTCAACATTCCTCCAAGATGACTTATACCAAACCTTTCAAATGTCTATAAACTATATAAACAAAGGAAGAACTTACCCTGAGAAGTTTTTCGATCTTGTTCAGCAGTGTAGGTATAAGATGAGACTGTAAATTTCCAAGTTCTGTAGTCCAAGCAGCATACGCTGGTAAAAATACTTGATGTGTTGCACTAACTACTCTTTCTGAGGGATCACCCAAGGCTGACAGCAGCAATTCAAAACCCTGCCAAAAAGAAATAAGCAAATGTAGATTTGTAAAAGAACAATCTTTTAAAGTAATAAAAACACATTTCTATAAATTTAGAAAATATTTTAAGTAGAAAGAAAGCCATCTTTATATTAATACAATCCTACCCTGCCCATTTTCGTAAAGAAAATGTCATGTATACATCGATGAGCAAATCAAAGATAAGGGGTGGTAAAACATGGCATTACTGGGCCAGCAGGTAGCGTGGTGGTTGAGGCTCTGAATTCTCACATGGTTGACTCTGTGGTTTGAGTTTTGGACCCAGTAGCCTGAAGGCCTAAAAAACACGCCAGGCATGTATGCTTGTATGCCCCATATCCCAAGAGGAGAATGGAGGAGAAGGGATAGGGGATAGTGGCATGGCCATCACCCCTGGGGAGTGATTACTCACTTTCCTTCTCTCTCTTTCAGATAAAAGCATGCACTCTATGGCAAAAACAAAAAACAAAAAAACCCTAAAAGCAAAACAAAACAAAAAACCATGGTATTATAAAATTTCTGCCTCAAAATTACAGCAGAGACTCTAAATAATTCATGGCATTCTTTCCTCTGGAATACAAAAGTGAAAATTTTGTAACTGGGCAGCTCCCCACAACTAACTAAAGACGACCTGCCATCACTACTATAGATTACAAAGTACCTGAATCAGAGATTCAGAACATGACATTATTTGGAATTTTATAATGGGGTCATGGCGGGTTCATTCTTTAAACATACCTGTTGATATTTGTCTGGATCATCAATATACCCCATGATGATACCAAGGCTTTTGATCACAGCTTCTCTTACCAAATCGGCCTTATCTTCCATTAACATTTGTTGCAACATTGAAAGAACCAAGGAGCTGCGGATTTCTTTCTGAAAATAAACAACACGTTTTTACTGTTTATTTACATGAAAGCAGAAAAGTATAGAGAACAACTTGACAGACATCCATGTGTTCAAAATCCAGAATAAACAGGCACTAACATTTTGCTACACTGCTTCAAGTCTGCTTTTTCAAAGATAGAACTTAATAAACACAGCCAAAACATCACTCTCCCCACATTCCTTTCTTCACCCTCCCTGGATAGTGACTTGAAAATCATGCTAGGAATGTGTGTGCATGCCCAAGATCCTGAGAGGAGAATGGAGGAGAAAGGATTGCAGCATGGCCATTTCCACTGGAGGGGTGACTTCTCACTTTCCCTCTCACTGTACCTGTCTCTCTCCAGTGAGTGTGCATACTCTAAGGCAAAAAACTCAGAAAAAATAAATAATTTGCCTGTGGTAAGGTGAGGAAACATTATAAAATCCTGGCATTTCTAACTTTTTAAAAAGTGAGGAAAAGTATTAAAAAAGGGTGGCATAAGAGTTAAGGCCTGTATTCCCACATGGCCAACGATGGCTCAGGTCCCGACCTGGTGGCTTTAAAATCACGCAGGGCAAGTGCACGCATACCCAAAATCCTGAGAGGAGAATGGAGGAGAAGGGATTGCAGCGTGGCCATCCCCCTGCGGGTAATTTCTTACTTTCCCTCTCTGTCTCTCTCTCTCTGGCCAATACATCCACCCTATGGCAAAAAGAAAAAAAAAATCTTAAAAAAAAAAAAAGAACTTAAAAAAAAAGAATTAAAACAGAACATGATGACAGCAAATTTCAAAATACTTTAAAAATGCTTTACTATTTTAATTCGCTAAAATTTAACATAGTGGTAACCACTGCTGTGTCTTTATTTCACACAATTTTTTCCAGTTATATGAAAGAATGTCTTATCTTAATTAATAGCTGAGGTTAGAATTAAGAGGTATCAATATATGAGTTCATGTCCCTCCTACTTTGTATTATCATTGCAATTTCAGCAATTTGTAAAGTTCTTTAAGCCTAAACTAGTTTAGGTCCTTTTTCTATCTAATGGTTAGAACAAGATAAAATAAAGGTAGAGGACCTGACTATTTTTATGAACTTACAGAGCAAGGCTCGTCAGACATCTTCTAAGGCCTGGTTTACACTTTGATTTTTTAGAAACAAAAATACATGTAATTTTAGCAAATTGTGGACATATCTAGTTTGGTGAATATGCCTTTTAGTAAAGCTTGTTTATTTACCCTCTAAGCTAAAAACTACCCTAAAAATGCATTAGAGTATTTTTATAAAGACCTCTAGGTAGGTATAAGCACAGACAATGAAACAGGTAAGTAGGCTTCAACTGGATATTTGCTTCATATTCATTTAAAAAAAATTATTTATTCATCTATTTTAATTTGACCAGTGAGAGACACAGACAGAGAGAGAGAGAAAGAGAGAGAGAGGAAGTGAAAAAGCAAGCTACTAGATCTAGAACTCGAACTACGGTTGGCCATGTGGGAGTCCAGCGCCATTAGCCACCACGGTACCTGCCACCCCCACTTCACATTGATTTGGACTGAGGTCAATGTGGCAATTAGTTTTAGTATGCCAAATGGACCCCCCTATAGGCTACATCAAGAGGCATTTCCCAGGACTAGCAGTTGGCATAAAGGCTATGTCACTGGACTCCTGTGTAGTCGACCGCGGTTTGAAAACCTCTCTAAACAAAGAAACAAACAAACAACAAAAAAAGGAGGCATTTCCCTATTTAAGAACAGTGCTCGAGGCTGACAGGTGGATGGTGGTTAAGAGCGCTGGATTCCCATATGGCCGACCATGGTTTGAGTCCCAGACCTGGAGGCTTGCTTTCTCGCTTTCCCTTTCTCCCTCTCTCTCTCTGGTCAAAATTTAAAAAATGATAATAACAACAAATGGAATTAAAGAAATAAATAAATATTTTTTTAAAAAAAGAACAGTGCTTAAAAATTGTTGCTACCAGTTCCAGTGGGATACAAGGGAAGCGTGGATCCACTGATGAAACATTATATCTATTATAAATATTGCTTGGCAGTCTAAGAGTGAGACAGTTTTCTTATCCTTTGGGAGCAAGTAATGTACATCTCCTTCTTGGGACAATAAATAATAGAATCCTAAAATGCTTTCCTCTCTCTTTCTCTCTCTCTCTCTCTCTCTCTATATATATATATATATAGTTTCTCAAACTGATACAATATCAATTTTCTCCCATAAGATAGAAAAAGTTTAAAACATTTCATCATGGCTAGTTCTTTTTTTTGGGAGAAGTTTTCGCTATAGGGCGCGTGTGCTCGCCAGACAGAGAGAGACATAGAGACAGAAAGCGAGAAATCACCCCCCAGTGGGGATGGTCACGCCGCAATCCCTTCTCCTCCATTCTCCTCTCGGGATCTTGGGCATGCACGCACACACGCCCGGCATGAGTTTTAAGCCACTGGGTCCGGGACGCAAACTGCGGTCGACTACGTGGGAGTCCAGCGACATAGCCATTACGCTAACTGCTGGTTCCGCATCATGGCTAGTTCTTGTCACAGATATGTGAAAACAGGAACTCCAATGCACTGTTAAAAAGAAGTATAAATTCCTGCCATCTTGGTTAGGTACAATTTAATACTGTCAAAAATAAAAAATGCAAATGTGGAAAGCAGCAAGATATTGGATATTAACAGTGTGAAACACTTTAAAAACAGAGAGGTAACCACATAAGAACTATCAGTAGGGTTTATATTCAGGCACTGCTAGAAGGACATAAATTCATTGTATATGTTAGGTTGCTAGAAAAGTCATGATTTGCTTTTCTATACAAAAATGTGTCATGACTTTCCCAACAGTAGTATGTTTAATGTGGGATAAAATATATTTACCTGTATAAAAATATAAATAAATAAATATTTTATGTATATACATAAACATATATATAGTGGGCTTGCCCCAGAGAGAAACAGAGAGCAGGAAAGTAAAAAATCGCCCTGAGGGGAGATGGCCATACCATCTTTCTTTCATCCCCCTATTGGGATTTGGGCACACATGCATAGGTGCCTAGCCACCAGATCTGAGAATCATTCCATGGTCAGTCATGTGGGAGTCAAGAGGCTCAACCACCATGCCACCTGTTTCCCCTGAAGTATTATTATTATCATTTCTTTTTGCTGAGGTTTTTGCTATAGGGTGCATACACTTGCCAGAAAGACAGAGAGAGGCATTGAGACAGAAAGCGAGAAATCACCCCCTGGTGGTATGGTGACACCGCAATCCCTTCTCCTCCATTCTCCTCTTGGGATCTTGGGCATGCATGCACACATGCCCAGCATGAGTTTAAGCCACCGAGTCTGGGACTTGAACCATGGTCGACTACATGAGAGTCCAGTGACAGCCATTATGCTAACTGCTGGTCCCCTGAACTATTATTTTTTAAGGAATTATTTAATTTTATTTATTATTATTATTTTAAAATTTGTTGTAGGGCAAGTGCATGAGAGAGAGAGAGAGAGAGAGAGAGAGAGAGAGGAAAGAGAGAGAGAGGAAAGTGACAAAACAAGCTGCCAGGTCCAGGACTTGAACCGCGGTTGGCCAAGTGGGAGTCCAGTGTCTTATCATCACAGTACCTGCTGTTTATTTTTAACAGAACTAAAAACAATTCTTTTGTTATTGGCTTTTCACTCTTCACTAAAAATTATCAAGTTAACAATAAATGCAATTAAATAGCTCATGAACTGTTGTACATTTCAATTTTTTGTAGCCGTTTTTAAGAATGATTTTACTAAAAATGACCCTAGAAGGTACAGATCAGCAAACATTGGGAAAGAGCCAGATGGCATACAACCTTGGCTTTGGAGGCCATAAAAATCTCTGTTACAACTGATCAAACCTATAGCTGTAACAGAAAACAGCCCTACACAGTATATAAACAACTAGATGTGGCTGTGTTTCAATAAACCTTATTTACAAAATTAGGCTGTGGGTTAGAATTGATATACAGGCTGTGGTTCACCAAGACTGGCTTTAAACTGCTAATTATAAAATAACTCTTAATGCCTTCTCATTCCTTCTACCTATTCTAAACCCTGAACCTATGGATAGAATGCTATAAGAGCTTAATAGTCTAGTGGTTCTCAAATTTTTTTTTTTTTTTTTGCTATAGGGAGGGCATATGCACTCACCAGAAATACAGAGAGAGACAGAGAGATAGAAAGTGAGAAATCACCCCCCAGGGGGATGGCCATGCTGCAATCCCTTCTCCTCGATTCTCCTCTCGGGACCTTTGGCACACACGCACACGTGCATGGCATGAGTTTAAGCTGCTGGGTTTGGGACTCGAACTGTGGTTGACAACATGGGAGTCCAGCAACATAGCCATCATGCCAACTGCTGGTCCCTGGTTTTCAATCTTTTTGGTGGCAGGAATCTCACCTTAATTTAAAAATTAAAGAGCTACTCAAAGCCAGCCCAAGGTGTGATGGCTAAGGTGGCTGGATCTCACACGGCCAACTGTTCAGTCCAAGCCCTGAACTCAGCAGCTTGAGAAATCTGCTGGTTGTGAGTGTGAGTGTACCCCAAATCCTGAAAGGACAGGAAATGGAGAAGGGATTACAGTGTGACCATGCTGCATGGGATTGCTTTCTCTTCCTCTGCCTCTTCCCAGTAAGCAAATATGTCCTCTAGAAAATTAAAAAAAAAAAAGGGCCAGCAGGTGGCCTGAATCTCACACTAGGTACATGTGCATACGTACCCAAAGTCCTGAGAGGAGAAAAAAGGAGAAGGGATTGTGACATGGTCATCTCCCTGGGGAGTGACTACTCACTTTCTCTCTCTCTGGCAAAACTCCCTCTCAAGAAAAAAAATTAAAGAGCACCTTGAACAACTTTTGCTTGGGTATGTATTATTTACTAACATTCATCATATTAGAAATTAAAACTAAAAATATAAAGAAAACGACATCATTACTGTTTCAATAATCCAGTATTTTCTTACAGAGTATTAAGATAGCCGTCTTAGCCACCATTCCACAGCCCCAGCTCCTAGTATAGCTCAGCACATTTATACCCATGTTAATTGGTGGCAGCGTGCCTATCTGCCTGCAATGCCGTACTGTACTAGTGGGAGACATTTCCTTTTTTTGCCTCATCTCTTTTCCTTATCAAGACAGCATGCCTAGAAAGACTTGGATAAAAGTATGTAAGATATCTGAAAAAATCTTAATCTTTAAATCTTTTTAAAAAGAAAAGAGGTTTTAAGAAAAAAGACAAAAAAGACAGTTCTTACGGGAAGGTAAGGTGCCAGTGCTCCACAGGATTCTGCCACGAGAAGTCGTCTTTCTGGGTATTTGTGATTAATCTAAAGTAAAAAAAAATACAGAAATCAAGGATAAACAACATACACTCCCTTCTTTGAACAGAGAATTACTTTTCGCCACAAATCCTGTTAGGAATGCAATAAAGTTTCTTCCTTTTCCATTTCTGGGATCCCTGTGTGGCTATACCTGGATCAGGAAGAAGGGAACCAGGGAAAGTTTAAACACGAGGTCACAGGGGTTTATCTGTTTAAAAAAAAAAAAAAAAGGAAAAGAAAAAACGGGGAAATCAAAGATGAAAATTTGACAAAGAGTTTAGCTATTACAGGTTTGCCTAAAACTAGGCTTTTCCTTAGAATGTGATGGAGAAATCAGGAACTTTCCCTAGAAACATGGTATATATATTTAATTTGGAAAATACAGCTTATAGATTTGACAGATATCATCTATAATGTGTGCTGAGCCTTTTTTTTCCTTTTTAAATCTAAGGGATTAGGAAGTAAAATAATAATTTACCAGAGATCTTGACTAGAATACGGTTTTATTTTTAAAGTACCCAGACTTCAGTCTATTCCTCTGTTTGCTTAAGGAAAATGATGGGATTTTGCTATTGTGATGACGACACTGAACCATAGTAAAAAAATAACAACAAAAAAAATGACACATACTGGGTTTTGTTCCCATATGTCTTCTTCATAGAATATAAATCTTTCTTTGACTGGAAAAGAAGTATATCTGTTCTCATATTCCCATATGAAAAGGTGGTATTAATGATTTGGATGCCTAAAATTAAGAAAAGAAATCATATAGCAATCTACTGAGCAAAAAACTGGAGGTAGGTGGCTAGATAGAGCCCCGATATCTACGTGTATTCAGGTTACAGAAGAGTTGGTGGTAGAGAGGTTTTTAAGTGAAATCTCTTCAATTTAATCCAAATATGGTTACCTCGAAAGCTGGATTTGAATGCCAGAGTATGGTATATATAAACTTATATTATGTCTTTCTTTAGTCTAGCTCAGTGAGTCTCAGAATTAAAACGTATGTACAAAAATCGGTTGTATTTCTATCAGCAATAAACAAACTGAAAATAAAATTAAGAACCATTCTAATTATAATAGCATCGAAAATATAATACTTAGGGGGCCAACAGGTGGCCTAGTGATTAAGGCGCTAGACTCCCATGTGGCCAACTGTGGTTCAAATCCTGGACTAGCGGCCTGAAACTCACGCTGGATATATGTGCATGCATGCTCAAAATCCTGAGAGGAGAATGGAAGAGAAGGGGTTTGTGGCATGTCTATACCTCTGGGTAGTGATTTCTCACTTTCTTTCTCTGTCTCACTGGTGAGTGCTTGTGTCCTATAGCAAAAAACAAACAAACAAACAAACAAAAACAACCACACATATAAAATACTTATAAACACAGAACAAGAAAGTACAGAATTTATATTCTAAAAAATATAAATCATTAAAAAAATTTTTAAAAACCAAAATAAATGGGAAGACATCCTAAATTCATAGATCAGAAAACTTAATATTAGATGGTAATACTATCCAGATTAACCTATGAATTTGATAGGTTTTCATGAAAAATCCTAGTACCTTTGCAGAAATAAAAAAGTTGATCCTAAAATTCATATGAAAACACAAGGGACCCAGAATAGCAAAATAATCTTGAAAGAGGAGACCCAAATTTGGGGGTTCATTTTTAGAGTGAAGAAAATGTTTTAAAAAGGACTGAGATGATGGATGTAAAACTGTGAATACACTGAAACCACTGACTTGTACACTTTAAGGTGTGAATATGGTTATTTTGAATTTTATCTCAATAAAACTTAAAGTAAATGAAAAGATTAAGTACACATGATAATTGTGCAGAACAGTAAATTCAGGTATGTTATATCCAAGATAATTTTGGCTTTAAGCAATTAGAATCTCCCCTTAAATTAGTAGACATTGTAATTTACAGATGTTGTAAGGGACTGTCAGACGCTAATTGGTACTACATAAAATGTGCATGTAATATTAAGTCTAGTGACTCCACTACAATATAGTGGGGAAAAAAAAGTGCCCCCCCAAAATTGGGAACAGAAGTCTAAATGATGACATACTTAAGTTATATTCCAGAGATCGATAGTTTTCTTAAGAAGACACTGTGCTATTAGAAATAAGGCTATATAACTTGACTCCATACATAGGAAACGCATCTTTTCAGGGTGGAAAAATAGGTGCTTAATAACCTAAACATCAAGTTAACAGTCAGTCATTCTGAGCCGTACAGAAGACTGGAATATTAAAATTCATTATAAAACCCAGGGTATTTTTAGTAAATTGAGTTCAATTATAAATATTCCCACATCAAAGATTTGCGTTTTATATAGTGTATGTATCTGTCCCATACACAACCACACACACGTATAAGATGTGCTTGTAGTGCGCACGCACACGCGCACGCACACACAATTGTCTTTCTCTTTCTTGAACGTATCAAGCTCAGTCCCATTCCAGGGCCTTTACTTCATTCAGATTCTTTCCTAACACCCTTTCCTCAGATATTCCCTCTGACCACCCTTCTAGGAGAACATTCTGTATCATTCTCTAAACCTTGTCCTGCTTTATGTTTCTTGGTAGTATACAGTACTACACAAGGGCGTGCCTATTTTTTTTTTATTCTTATCTCCACACTAGGGTATCTTTGTCATTTGTTCACCACTGTACCCCTAGTGACTTCACCAGTATTAGCACTGGAATGAATATTTCATCATTATTTATTGAATCAATAAAGCAAAGCATCTCTGAACATTTTTGAGCACGATTAAATCACTATGCTGTGTTATGGAAATAGCAGGATAATTAATATCCCACATTGCCTACACCACTTAAACAAGAAAATACAAGCCTTCATAAAAAGTTAGACTCTATTAGTAAAGGGAAAATCTAACAGTTATTTACCTGTTCCCAACATTGTGGTAAAAGTTCAGCTTCAACACGTGTTGGCCCAACGTGACGTGCAAATGCCACACAACCCGTCAGTATCATCTGCCTGAAAATAATACAAAAAATAAAGACTTGTACTTGATTTAGAAAGCAAAATTAAGATGAAGAGTTAAAGAAACTCAGCTCTGCAATTTACATACAGTACGACATTTTTGAAAAAGGAGACCTTTCCAACAACGGGCTAGGCTACACCATTTGACATTGTAAAGGGATTTCCTCATTGGTATAAAGCCAGATCTCATAACCTTCTAAATTAACTTCCCATTCATACACTATATCAAATGCTTCATTTTCTACTCAGCTGCAGTTTCTAGCCACCAAAACAGTGATTATTTTCCCAATGTCTCTATAATTATAAGCTCTGGTATTGTATTAGTAAAATAGTACTCTAAGTCATTTTTAGAACAGGATTTTTGGTATCTATTACAAGATAACCATGTTTTTTTTTTTTTTTT